TGCTTCAGTGACTCCATCCAGCCACCTCATTCTCTGCCATCCCCTTCTTCTTTTGCCATCTATTGTTCCCAGCATTAGGCTCTTCTCCAGGGAGTCCTTCCTTCTCATTAGATGGCCAAAGTATTTGAGTTTCATCTTCAGTACCTGGCCTCCTAAAGAGCAGTCAGGGTTGATCTCCTCTAGGACTGACTGATTTGATCGCCTTGCGGTCCAAGGGACTCGCAGAGTCTCCTCCAGCACAACAATTCAAAGGCCTCAATCCTTTTGCGCTCAGCCTTCCTTATGGTCCAGCTTTCACAGCCATACATTGCAACCGGGAAAACCATAACCTTGACTATACGCACTTTTGTCGGCAGGGTGATGTCTCTGCTTTTTAGTATGCTGTCCAGATTTGCCATAGCTTTCCTCCCCACGAACAAGCGTCTTTTAATTTCTTGGCTGCAGTCCCCATCTGCAATGATCTTGGAGCCCAGGAAAATAAAATCTGTCACTACCTCAGTTTCTTCCCCATCTATTTGCCAGGAAGTGAGAGGACCGGATGCCATGATCGTAGTTTTCTTAATGTTGAGTTTCAAGCCAACTTTTGTGCTCTCCTCTTTCACCTGCATCAAGAGGCTCTTTAGTTCCTCTTCACTTTCTGCCATGAGAGTGGTATCATCTGCATATATGAGATTGCTGAAATTTCTCCCGGCAATCTTAATTCCAACTGGTGATTCATCTAGCTCTGCCTTTCTCATGATGTGCTCTGCATATAAGTTTAATAGACAGGGCGACAGTATACAGCCTTGCCGAACTCCTTTCTCAATTTTGAACCAATCAGTGGTTCCGTGTCCAGTTCTCACTGTTGCTTCTTGACCCACATATAGGTTTCTCAAGAGACAAATAAGATGGTCTGGGACTCCCACCTCTTTAAGAACTTGCCACAAATTGTTGTGATCTACACAATCAAAGGCCTTAGCGTAGTCAATGAAGCAGAAGTAGATGTTTTTCTGGAACTCCCCAACTTTCTCCATGATCCACCTTTCCTCTAATCGGTGCAAGGCAGCCTACATGGTCCCCCACCCACTCCATTTCATCCTCACAACAACCCTGTGGCGTAGGTCAGGCTGAGAGAGCATAGTTGGGCCAAACTCATCCAGGAAGCTTCACAACTGAGGCGGGTTTCTGAACCTGGCTCTGCACTGCCTTATTCCAACACCCTCAACGTACTTCATCATCTCACTGACTAATCCTCAAGCAACTCCAGACATCACCTTGGAACAGATTTTTAAGGGATAGAGAACAAAGTGAGAACAAACTGGCTCACCACTTGCTCCGGCCAGAAGTTCTGGCTCTTTTTTCATTGTCTTTGTCCAGAACCCAGATATTTTGTGACCATCAGCTGAGAAAAGTTTGGGACCTGCAGAAATGGCAGAGTAGGGCCACCCTCCACATCACCGCCTCCTCACAAAATCCTTCCAGATGTGTGATATTTCGGCATAAGTAGCAGGTGTATCCTATCCACCCAGGCTCGCGGGGGCCAGTTTACAAGATTGCACAAGAGGATCCTGGGAACAGCCTGTCCTTGCTTGCTGGGAATTCCTCTGCTGAGGTCAGCACTTAAGTCCCTTTATGCTCCCAGCAGATGTCTTGCAAAATCCTGCTTCCTCTGTTTTTTCCCCTTAGCTGGGAATCTAAAAGTCCCAAACTGGCTTTGATCTACTAGGCTCTATCCTGTGGCCAGAAAGTCCCCCTTTCCTCCTAAGGACCCCTGGCTTTGCAGAGGAGAGTTTTACTTCTTACCAGGTCTAAACTGGTTATCTTTGCAGGGTTATCACAGTAACCCTGCAAAGGAGGGACTGATATGTAGGTGAATGTATGTTTTGAACCAGCCTCCCTTAATCTGCGGTGTTCCAAATATGCCAGACAAATCTCACCATCCCAAGTCAATAAGTGCTGCCATAGATGATGATAAATATTTAAATCAATTGATTAAATAATTTAATCCACATTTGGCTAATATTATAGTTTTTAAGAGAGGTAAAGTGGATTTCCCTTGCTTTAGAGACTATATGCACATGCTGACATCTGGGGAGAGGCACTGCGTCCTGCTTGAGAAAGTTTCCCTAGATGAGGCTGCTAATCGGCTCTTAATCCGCTGCATCTACTATTCGTTTCGTCACATAATTGAGGCAGGAGCTCTCCACAAGCACTTTCCATTCTTGCTTTTCCACTTCATAACCTCTAGGTGGCACTGTGCTACCATACAAAGGCATAATCAAACTAGTACTTTCTTTTGCTTCTGCCATTAAATGTTGCATTTCTTTGCTCTAAAATACGTAACTGAAAGTGCTTTTTAGACACAGACCTGGAACCAGATGACAATGCCATCTAAAGAACTGTGAACTGGGAATGATGAGTACATAATAAATGCCACGTGTTAAAAAAACAAGCAAACCCAGAGTGAAATTTTTCTTCCTTATCTTAAAAATTAATATACTTTGACACCTTTTTAGAAGATAAGATGGTGCAGATATGTTAATAATAAACTACTAAAATCATCCTTCTTTTCTTCTTTTTTAAAGCTGTGCCTGATGAATCAGGATACCCCTTTTAGTTTGCAATTGTTTCATCTAACCTGTTAACCTTATGATGGAACTTCATTGTCATCTTCTCTGCGACTCCCACTGCCTCTGTGTAACGTGTATTTCCGTTGGCTGGAGCCAAATGGTGTCTTATTTACAATGTTGTTTTACCTCCAAGTTGATTTGTCACGAAATTTATGATGGAACTTTTTTTGTTGTGAAGTCAGTTGCTTTAATGTGTTGCAAGAGTGTTATTTTTTTCTGTGGAAAGCCAGGATGTACATCTTTTGTAAGAAAATTAAATAGACAAAAACAGATGGAGTCTGTTTTGATAGACCGGCAGAGAGAGAACTGGATTAGAAAGAGAGAGTTCAGTCCAGCATTAGCCAAAGGTCTTTTGTGGCCTGAGGAGGAACTATATTGACTGAAAATTATTCAAAGGCTGTCATTCGGAGTGGAACCCTCCCAAGACAACATGCAAAATATGAATCCTAAAAACTGGATACAATAAAAATCGGTATGTACATTTCAATAAAAATGTCAATAACATGACCAGCAGTAAATGGCATACCACTCCCTCACCCCCATTGAAGGTGCATAGCCCCTCGGCATGTGCAGATGTTATTTGATATATTCCATCCATATTCCATGCATATTCTGTGACCTTTCACTTCATCACCCACCCACCCCTTATATCAGTTATCAGAATTTCATTCTAACTCATGGACAGAATGTGGACTCTACCATGAAGCTGTGCAGATAGCTAGGGCTGGGCCTGGAGGCAGAAAACAAGCATTGTGTGGCCCCAGTGGCTCTCAAGGAAACAGCCAGAGGGCACCATGACACTGGGGCGAGGGGTAAACGGGTGGTGCCTAGGCTGGCAAACTCTCTTTCCCCAGACTGGCATTTTCTTCCTGCAAACATGATGGTGCTGTGATTTAATATAAGTGCCCTTGTTCAGGAGATCCCTTCCCTTCCCTTCCCTTCCCTTCCCTTCCCTTCCCTTCCCTTCCCTTCCCTTCCCTTCCCTTCCCTTCCCTCCTCTTCCAACCTATCCCGAATGTATGGACAGTCGTAAAGCGTGGAATGATGGTGTGGAAGAGAATTGTCTCTGTGCTTTGCACGGGCCCTCGGAATAAATCCTCATAAGACTATTAAGTCCAGGAACTCGAATGCCCTAGCTGCACAAATGCATGGAGAATGAAATTGCCGTCAGGTCCAGCCCCGTGCTCGGTGCAGGACACCAATTTAACCTGTCCTTCTCAGATGGCTGTCCAGTTGCATCTTGAATGCCTTCAGAATGGGAGAGCCCACAACCTCCCTAGGAAATTGGCTCCATTGTCATACTGCTCTAATCTTTCAGGAAATTTTTCCTGGTATCTAGCCGGAATCTGGCTTCCTGCAACTTGAGCCTGTTTTTCTGTGTCCCACACTCTGGGATGCTTGAGAAAAGATCTTGGCCTTGCTCTTTGTGACAGCCTTTCAAGTGCTCGTACAGTGCTATCATGTCTTCTCCTGGTATTCTCAAGGTTAAATATGCCCAGTTTTTTCAATCTGTCCTCACAGGGCTTTGTTTCCAGGCCTTGGATCAGCATTTTGCCCTTCTCTGACCCCTTTCCAGCTTGTCTGCATCTTTCTTCAAGTGCGGTGCCCAGAACTGGATGCAGCACACCAGGTGAGACCTAACCAGTGCTGAGTAAATGGGACCCACTATTTTGCATGATTTGAAAGTGATACTTCTTTTAATGCAGCCTAAAAAATGCAGCCTAAAATAGCATTTGCCCTTTTCGCAGCCCCGTCACATGGTTGACTCATATTCAGCTAGAGATCCGCAACAATTCCAAGATCCTTCTGGCTTGCAGTGTCATTGAACCAAGTATTCCCCAACTTGGAACGATGCACTTGGTTTCTTTTTCCGAGGTGCAGAACTTGGCATTTGCCCCCTTTGCAGCCACATCACACTGTTGACTCACTCCTGCTCTTGTATTCCTGGGTTACATCACTCTTTCCTGTCGGCAGCATGAGAGCAGCCGCGGAATGATAATATTTAGACACTGGCTCCCTGTGACCCCACATTAGGGGCAGCAGCGGTGACAGCCACCCCGTGACTCTTACTCAGAGTGTGTGCATTTGGGGGGGTGGAGCTTGGTGTGGGGGGAGGATGTGGGTATCCCGGAGGCCAAAGGGAAGGGCAGCCACCTTTGCCATGGAGCCGGCAGCTGTATATATACGGCTGTGCGTGCCGGCTGGGAGCAAACTTGGAGTGAGGCAGCTCAGGGGGAAGAGTGCTCCCTGTGCTCTGAACACTGTAATTGATTAGGGGGACTGGATTATTTCTAAAATACTAAAACCCACCACGAAAACCTGCTTTCAACAGCTCTTGCTGGATTGCATTTTATTTAGGACTCAGGACTTCTCTCAGGTTCCTCCAAGAAAGAAGGCCTAGGGAACTGCTGAGAACTAGCACCTTGAACAGCTCTCAGTTTTCCTTTGGCGCTAGCACTTTCTCTGCCATCTTGCCTTCTTCCTCTCCTGGCTGAGCCTTCTCAACCCATGTCGGCCACTACTACCCCTCTCCGACACAAGCGCTGCCTCCTCCTCCTCTCCAGCATCATTTTCTGGGCTGCTCTGGCCCCCACGGTGCTCGCTTTCCCCATGCAGGATTCCAACCCCCTCTACCAATATGACGGGCAGGTCCGGCTTCGCCACCTCTACACAGCAGATGACCAAACGCACCTCTACCTGCAGATTACAGCGGATGGCACTGTGAGCGGCTCCCGATACCAGAATCCCTTCAGTGAGTGTTCAGGGGAAAGCTTGGCTTTGAGTTTCCGGGATTTTTGGAGCTCAGCGACAGGACGCCTGGGTTCCTTGGGAGGAAAACTAAGGTGCTAAAACAACAAAACGCCTTTACTCATGGTGGGCAGAAGAGGAAAATGTCAGCAGATGCAGCTTTCTCCTGAGTGATGAGCTGCACCTTCTGAAATCCAATGCTTGCTGCAGGGAGGTTGGCTTCCTTTGTGTGGCGTCAGCCTCGCTTTCTGGGCAAAGCAAGTGGAGGGGTGCTTCTGACCTGGAGCCCCCTGTAGGCCTGGGACCAGGCCACCTGTAGGCTCACCTGCTCTCCTGTGAGCCTTCCTGTGTTTTAAGGGCCTCTTGGTCCAGCGGACGTCATTGGCGGAGGAGGGAAGCAGGACCCACTGCAGCCTCTCCCAAGACTTTTTTCCAGGCCTTTGGCATGTAAACCAGTTTTTTCCAGAAGGGTTTTTCAATTGGTCAGGGGGGTTCTAAATTACTATGTTTAAATTAAGATTTTGGTGGAAAGAGAAGGTTGGTTGCTGGACAAATAAAAATAATAAACTTAATTCAAGAATAATACAGCTGGGATAGAAATTAGATAAATGTGACGGAGTTGGGAAGGGGACAACCTGGAGAAGCTGTGGTCATGTTATATCTCCACACCTAGGGAGAGCTAGTACTGTGGCTTCAATTGACCACCTTCTAGACATTGCAGGTGGGGGCAACTCATGGATCAGAAGAGACTGATGAGCCGCTCACCTTGGTCCAAGGCGCCTTGGTTCTCCTCCCTCCTCCATCTGTTCTCTCCTTGTCTCCTTTCAGGTTTGATGGAGATCAAAGCTGTGAAGATGGGAATCGTTGTCCTGAAGGCCAAGACAACCTCACTGTTTCTCTGCATGAAGCCGACTGGACAACTCTACAGTGCAGTAAGTCTGACCACCTGCCTGTGTATGTCTGGGGATGGTGTGAAAGAGTCATCATTCAGGGAAATCTGCTTGTCTCTTCCACCTTCCAGCCGAAGTGCTTAAAGATGTTACCAAGGCTGCTCCACCCATTCATTCTGTTTAGTCACAAAGTCATGCCAGAGCCATCGCGACCCCATGGACAACATTCCTCCAGGCCTTCTTGTCCTCCACCATCCCCAGAGTCCACTCAAGCTCACACCAACTGCCTCAGTGACTCCATCCAGCCACTTCATCCTCTGCCGTCCCCTTCTTCTTTTCCCGTCAATTGTTCCCAGCGTTAGGCTCTTCTCCAGGGAGTCCTTCCTTCTCATTAGGTGGCCAAAGTATTTGAGTTCCATCCTTCATAGAAGGAGCTGGCCTTCTAAAGAGCAGTCAGGGTTGCTTTCCTATTCCACCCATTAGGTGGCAGTAAACTTGAATCTTCCTTTCAGTGGGAGGTTGTACCTGCCCTGTGTCTCAAGTACACACACCTTTATTTCCAAACACGGTGGGTCTCTTTCTCTCATGTTTCTAGGTTTACAGCTAAAATGTCTTAATGATGCACCTAAAGCGATCACATGTGTGAATCAGCTCTGATAATTGACAGACATTTCATTCTCTTGAATGTAGGGTGGGTGAGCTGAAGGTCAGCATTCAGATATTTTGGGTTTAACTCCCGTGAGCCCCTGCTAGCATGGCCAATGTCGGGCATGCTTGGAGTTGACGTCTCCGTTATCTGGAGATATGCCCTATGTTCCACTTGGCAGAGGAAGAGATATTCTGAAGCCAGAATATCCGCATTCACTCAGTGATAAGTTATGTGCAATATCAGGATATCTGTGAATGTGCTTCCTGCACTGTTGCTTTTAAATAATGTCCACCGAATTGCTCCAGCACCTCAGACGTACTGCGGAAATCACACAGGCCATCACCTTTTACTCTAAGGCTTGTGCATGCTCTGAGTTCACATTAAACTACTGCGGCAAAATAGCTGCTATTCCTTGCCAAAAAAGAAAGAAAGGAGGGAGGGAGGGAGGGAGGGAAGAAAGCAATTTGTATAACTTGTGTTTATTTTGAAGCACTGTGTTTATGCAAGCTATGGGGTACATACAAAACTATGGAGCAAACAGCACACCCACCCGTATTTCCAAATTTGGTGGGTTTCTTTCATTTGCACAATGTTTCTAGGTTTGTTTGTTTTTTTTAAAGATGCACCTTTAAAGATGCGCCTTCTGAGATTTTAGCACATGTATTCTATACTTTCAAACCAACTTTCTCATTATAAGGACTAGAAACTTGATTTTAAAACATAGACAGAAAGCTGTTATTCTCAGAAGCGTGGGCAGTTTCGTAGAATGTTTTGGCAGATGCTCAGGATATAAATGATTGGAGTAAACAGACCAGAAAGAGCCTTGCGGAGGTTCAGGGGAATTAAGGGCAAGTCATAATGTTGTATTGGAACTCCATTCTCACCCACTTTCTCGGCTCATCCTGATCTCATGGAGACATTAGCATAGTAACTATAAAAATCTGCAGGGTTCAGTCTACCACCCAGTCTGGCAATGGTATGGATCCAGTTAACGTGCAGCTCAGTACAACCTGCAATGCACCCAGAGAGAGCAGAATGCTGTTGACCTTCTGTATAAAGAACCTTAACTGATGGATTATGCCGAGAAATAAATTTGTAATGACTGAATGATTTAAACGTTGGGAAAATCTTCTACACAGTGACGGCCATGCAGTGGCGGTGATGTTAGGAGGTGTTGGGCTGACCTTCCCGGGAAGCAATTTCGGCAGAAGTTAGATGGCTGCCTGCTCTGGATATAGTGGCCAGATTCCTCTCCTAAGCATGGCCTGGAGTAGAAGGCCTCCTTGCTCCCTTCCAATCATATAATGCTACAATTGTTTTGTGATTTTTAATCTTGTATGGATGACTGTGCACTAAATGACAATATAACCTTCGTTTGTATTTCATCCCTCCATAGATATCCTACCGGGAAGAGGCCTGCAACTTCCGTGAAACAGTTCTCCAAGATGGCTACAACGTCTACTTCTCTGAAAGCTACAACCTCCCGATCAGCCTCAGTTCAAGAAGGAACCTGAGTCCAGACCAGCCTTTGCCTCCCTTCTCCCAGTTCCTGCCCTTGGTCAACAGGATCCCCCTTGAACCTGAGCCTGTGGACTACACCTTTCACAGACAGACACCTGATGTTGAGTCAGATGACCCCTTCAACTTGCTTGGCCAACAGCCTGACTCCATGAATCCAAATTATGTCTCTTGGTAGCTCTGGGTCCCCTCAATCTGTTAGGAAGGGAGAGAACATGGTCAGACTTTTAGGGCTCGATCCTGTCCGGATTAATTGTCAGCCTCCAGACATGGAGGCTTAAAATCATCATTGCAGTACAGGAGAAGAGGAAGATTCCCTCTTTCCCATCCTGCTCCTCTCCATCAGCATTTTTGCTAGACAGCTATTTTTGGTCGCATTGTGAAGGTGCTTAGGAGGGGAAGCACAAGGTAACTCCTGTTCTGATCTCGCCTGGTCCTTACCCCAACCGCTAAAATACTCCCATTTTACCTTCTCCAAGGTTGCATTCCAGCCTCGAAGGGGTGGCTGGTACAGTTCCAGCTGCAAGAAGGAAAGTATCGGAGTATATTATCTAGGGACCATTGGACCTTTCCCTTAAGCAGGGTTTTCTCCAAGCATGAGCATCTGCATTCTCTTGCTACAAATTACAGAGCCAGTCAAAATTTGGGAGAAAAAGAAGTCTTGATTGTGCTTGGCGCACAGACTCCAGTGACTGAACCCTTGAATCCTGCATCCGAGGTTCCTTTTGTAATCTCTCATATATGGGGCAACTGATGCAGTTAAGCGATCGATGAAGAAAGCCCACCAGCAATGGAGGCAAAATTCTTGTGTTGTTAGGAATGAATGATGCATCCTTTTCCAAGTGATGGCTGTTGCTATTTGTTTTCTCCAGAGTTTTATTTCTATTTTTCCTACCTATTTAAATAACTTATTTATTATATGCCAGATTTATTTATTGAAGGAGGCTAGTGAGATTTAGGAAGGAGAGACAAGGGGTGGCACAGCGAGTAAGCTTCTTTGCCTGGCAAATAATTTATTGGTTGTAATTTATATAGAAATATATATGTGTATGTATTTTATTTCTGTTTATTTATTCCCTTTCTTGAAAATGGAATGGCTAGTGAAGTTCCAGCCTGTAATGTACTGCAGATATACTTGTGACAATCGTGCACCCAAGATCTTCCATGCAACCCAACTTGGCTGTTGCAAGCACCACAAGTCAAGGGGCAGGGCAGTGCTGAAAGGAGGTCATGGGGCCCCATAGCTCAGAACAGGCCCCAGCAGGACTCTTCTCACATCTCCCCCGAGGTTGCTGCTCTCTTTATTAAAGAGATGGAATTGAGTTGGCTTCTCACCTCTCCTTCTTTCGAGGTGTTGGGAACCCTCAGTCTTAGGAGCCCTTTCCTGTAGGACGTGGGTACAGAACCTCCAGGGATCTCTGGGGCTCTCCAGAAAGTGACATCCTCTTTCCCCCCAGTCACTGATCGTGTGGTAGCTTCCTGACTTTTGGGCAACCCCTGTCATCCCAAAAGGGATGCTACTCCCAAGACTTAATTCCGGGCAGTTAAGCCACTCAAGCTGGTACTTCTGGCCTTCCCATTCACCCTTGGCTCTGCCCAGCACTGGGGTTTAGCTCCTAAGAGCTTCTCCAGAATGGAATCTGGTCCTCAGATCAAAAGAAGTTTGTCCTCCTTAATGCAGGAAGTGTTTCATGTAAAGGCCACTCATATTGGACTCTTTGTATTGATTGATTGATTGATAAGCCTGATTAAGCTTCATTGCTGTATTTTTCAGAAGGTTCTATTCCAGCCAGTGACCTGTGCGAACTTTATAGTACTGTGATTGCCCAAAGTTATTGGTTGTCATGGCTTGACTTCAATGTCTCTTCTCTTTTTTTGATCACTTAGTTGCCTGTGTTTAGTGTAAAAATGTGTCCAAAGTGTAAACATCAATAAAATATTTTATTTAAAAATAAATATTGTGTGGTGAAACAGAATGAAAATAAATGAATAAAATTATCTCAGTCTCAGAAATGTCTTAATCTGGTATTAAAAGCTAAGTCGTGTCTTTATCTGAAGGGCTTTTGGGGAAGGATGTTCAGCAGTGTGGTGCCACCACAAAGAAAGCTCTGTACTAAACACACGTAGAACTTACCCAAGACCCAGTACACATTCTTGACAGACAATTTATGTCCTCATTGGATTGAAGGGCAAAGCAAAACCTGTCCGTCCCCTTCCTTCAAATTTCATTCAGTGTAGCAAAAGTAGTCCCATCCGGAACTGATGAAGCTAACTGAGGTACTTCCAATCTGGTTCAGAAGGGGCTTCTTTCCTCCTGAGGATCCCAAACCCAGAGAATTTTAACTAAGAAGGAATGAAACATAATAGGGTTGCTCTAGGCAACAGTTTCTGTCAGATAGGAAAAGAGCTCAGCTTCCACCCACCCGCCATCTTGGACACTTCCTTCAGAGGCATTTTATAACAGGGCTTTGCTGTCCTTGCCGTGTACCAAAGTCAGTTCTGATTGGCTGTGTGAACAGATGATGTTCCCGGAGTAGTTGCATGATTCCTGGTTTGTTAGGGATGCCAACCCTAAAAATGGCACAGCTGCCTGTGGAAAGATTCGCTGTAAACAGCTTTTGGTCAAACAGGATGCAGGATGGCTCTCACCAGCTACAACTGTTTTGCTTTATTTAGTCCCACACCTGCTACAGGTGAAAAATACACTCACGGCTTGAGGGCTATTTCATGAGAAAAGTAAACAAGATATATTCTCTGGGGGCTGAAACCCTGGGCCAACTTATAGTTTTGGCCAACAAATCCCATCATTGCTCACCATCAGCTATTCTGGGTAAACCAAATGGTTGCTGCAAGCCAAAATGCATCAAGTTGTTGTTGTTTAGTTGCAAAGTTGTGCCTGACCTATCATGACAACATGGGGGCCAGTGTGGTGTAGTGGTTAAGGGCATGGAACTGGGACTCAGACGATCTGGGTTCGAGTCCCCGCTCAGCCATGGAGCCAACTGGGTGACTTTGGGCCAGTCACAGACTCTCAGCCCAACCTACCTCACAGGGTTGTTGTTGTGGGGATAAGATGGAGGAGGAGGAGGATGTAAGCTGCCTTGAGCCCTTGTAGGAAAAAGGCAGGATATGCATCAATCAATCAATAAACAAATAAACATTCCTCCAGGCTCTCCTGTCCTCCACCATCCCTTGGAGTACACCGAAGCTCACACCCACTGTCCCAGTGACTCCCTCTAGCCACCTCATCCTCTTGTATCAAGTTGCCCACCCTGATCTGTGGCTTTAGGTAAAAATCTTTCCCAGCCCGATCTGAGATGCCATGGATTGAAGCTGGGATCTGCAGAATGAGAGCTTTAGCAGTGAACTACAAGAGTTGTCTTTTCCCGTGCGGTAGCATTGTTAGTCAGCTTTGGCAAACACCTTGCTCTCTAAGAAATGAGACAGTCGCACCCATTTGGAATTCCACCATTACCTTGACCTGAAAAGAAATTTGCCCCATTCTAAATTCTCCCCAACTTTCTGTCTGGGGCACATCAGAACATGTGATGAGAGGCCTTCTCCTTCTGGACAGGCTTTGAAGCTCTCTCTGCCAGAGGGTCCAAAGCAGTTCTGGAAGAAGCTGCATCCCAGGGGTCAGGACTAAAGGCAAAAGGAGTGGAGCAGGATAAAGAACAAAAAAGCAAAGAAGGTCAACACATCCTTTCAAGTGTTAGGCAGGCATTAAAGCTTAAAAGAGGTAGTTCATGCTTTCTGAATGCCAACAGCCAAACTTTCTGGTTGGGGGAAAAAGGGCTGGTGCCACACGAGGAAGGCTGTTCTTTTGGGGAACACTGGAGAGCTGGAATAAGATGTCTCGAGGGACGGATGTAGGCCCAGGCTTAAACTTCCCCTCTCCTCCTTTATGGATTCCTCTGATTTGCCCCCAAATCAGCTATTTTTAAAGCCTCTTACAGAACCAGCATCCCTAGGCTGCAACAGTACATCACAGCAAGATGATCCCCCTTCAGCTTCTGTGTAGGAGAAGAGAACTTATACTAGAATAAGGACTCCTAAAGCATTTGGGGTTCATTGTTTGGCTTGTTGCTGTGTTGGGCCCCTCACCCCCCATTTCTTTTTGTGTATATACAATGAATTCTGCCAGAAGGGCTCCCCCGAAACAGGAATCTTTCTCTTGTTTGGTGCACCTTGCAAGTTCTTTTGCTTTGTTCCTTTATTTCTGATAAAACTAATATCTGGAAATTAGAGCTGCCTGATTTTGTCCCCCTTCATGCAATGCCGTGAGTTTGGAGCCAGGAAGGGTAATTCGTCTGAACTAATCTGTGAACTCTGTCAGTCACTTGGAAGGATCGCCCACCGGCTGGGACCTCTTCGCATCAAGACCATCAACCCATGAAGCTGCTCGATGAAAGGGAAAAATCAGAGAGACTAGATCACGGGATGGCAAAAAACAACGGATGGGGATAAGAACGGCTTCTTACAAGCTGCGTCAGTTTTGATCCAGGCCTGACTGTAATTGATGGTGCTAATCAGCACTTTGGATAGCTGTGGTGCTCTTGGGCACGATCCTGTGTCCCCCTCCCTGGATTGTACAAACCCCCAAATGCAGAGGCTTATGTGCATCCAGGCGAAAGCCCAAGACCTGACATGGAATCCCTTCCACTGCCGCACTTCTCCCCGGCTGCCGTGTTCAACCATCCTGAGGACGTGCAGTGGAGCAGGAAGAGAGGAGACTAGGCCGGGGGGGGGGGTAGATATTGCAGAAGCTGTTGCCCCCAGCCCCTCCAGGGGTGATTGCTGACATCAGAGAAGCCACCAGTGCGATTCTTCCCATGCCATCTCTCCCCCCCTCCCTGGTGTGTGTGTGTGTGGGGGGGGGGCAGAATCAGATAGTCATAGGGAAAGATTCGGAGCACTTCTGTGTGGGGAGCTTGCTGTGGACCAATAGCCTTTCCCTCTTGTTCTCTCGTTTGCCTATTTTCCTTTTTTGTCCCCTTTTCTGCATAAAAAGGTAACTGAAAGCATTTGGGGCCATCTAAAACGGATGTAAAATAAATTAAATAAATCACTATAAAATAAATAGATATAGACTAGATCCTTCTTTCTGTTTCTGGCTCTCAGCAAGGCCTTAATTAAGTGCTTTCTGGTCTTCGTTGTCTCCTGGAATGGACCGGGCTGTGCAGATTTCTACATTTTGTTCTTAATGATGCTGTAATTCCAAAATTCTGATGTCACAAAATGCAAGCACGGAGAAAAGAAAGTGAAATCTGCGTCCTTCGTGATTTGAAGGGGTGCATGTGACGGAAATTACCCACCTGAAGTCTCCCAGCTGGGGACATGGGGATGAAGCCAGATGAAGCCTGCTTCTGCTTGCATTCTCTGGAAAAGAATTGTGTGCTCCGAAGGCCGGGCTGACGTGCTTGTTTCTGCGTAAGCGTGTTCTGGGCCTGGCTGCAGTCCTGTATGACTGCAATTCCAGGCATTCATTCTGGTTTTTTTAAATTGCAGTGTTAGCAGCGCTTATTATTATTAATATTGATATTACTACCAGAAATGTAGGTGCATTCTCTCATGGAAACCAGATTGCGTGGAATGACAACTCAGCAGGGCTGGCAGCAAAGAAAGGCTGGGCCAGGCGCATGCCAGGACCCACAGCGAGAGGACTGGCTCCTCTTCTTCACCGTGGCTTCCGGCCTCCACCTGTCAAGCAATGCAGGGAAAAGGGGCGGGGGGGGGGGAAGCAAGAGCAGCTGGTGGCAAGGCTGATGAGAAGGCTGGAGGGAGCCCATGGCGGGTGTCTTCCCTTAAGATGGTTGAATATTCTTTTATTTTGTTAAACCCTGGGTTGCTAATTCACGTAAACTGATTGCAGCTCAACCACTTGGAGGGCCTCCATCCAGGGACGGGAAGCAAAGCCCTAGGAGGAGACATTGAGAAAACTGGGAATGTTATGCCTGGAGAAGAGAAGACCGGGGGAGACATGATAGCGCTCCAGAAGGTCGTTGCAGAGAAGGAGGACGGGATCCCTTCTCATTCATTCCGGAGGGCAGGACAGGGAACAACCAGCTGAAGTTATAGGAGGCCAGATTCCAGCTAGAAATCAGGAAGGATGTCCTGTTAACTCAGGAAGACCATTCCCTACGGGCTCTCCCATACTGAGCGGGATGGTGTAGCCTGGTGCCCGGTTGGGCCCACTGGCGCCTTCCAAGATTCATCCCTGGACTGCTCAGCATGTTCCATGACCCCTCTCTGCGAGGGTAGATGTTTCTCCTCTTTTACAGAGGATAGTCCTCCATGAGTGGGCTAAAGCTAAAGAACTGGCAGGGGCCTGCTCTTGGTGCCTCGGAGGCATCCGCTTGGCACTGTGCGAGCCAGGATGTTGTGCCGGATGGGCATTTGTTGCAGTCCATCAAGGCTTCTTCCTTCCTGCTTCCTGCTTCCTGCTTCCTGCTTCCTGCAAGAGCAGCTGCTGATGGTGCCGATGAGAAGGGAGACACATGGAGGGAGGGGGAATGGGGAAGGACGGGCCCACCAAGAGTATCTCGTGCAGGGCCCTCGAAAACCCGAAGCCAGCACTGACTGAGGGCCAGTGCTGAATGGCAGCAGTTCGAGCTCTACGCTACTTGTGTATCTGCTCTTATTTCCAGTCAACATCTTCAAAAAACAAACGAACACAAAAACCTGGGTTGTCACTCCATGCGAACTGGGTTTTTTTAAATCCTAGTTTGCTATGAAATGGCAGCCTGCTGATGCACGCTAGCTGACCAATTAAAATGGCGTCCTTGATTAATCAAGCAACACTTTATAAAAAAGAAGAAAAGAATGAGAATTATTGCAATATTTGTTTTTATTAACATTCCTGCACTGCCTTATTTGCTGAAAAGTCAGCAAAACATGTTCATTATTAAGGTATGGAGGAAAAGTTTCACTCCAGGATTTTATACACAAGGCATTTATCATGGACTTGCCATTTCCGACTCATGATTGTCTACAGATGTCTTAGAATTCTGTGTTTAAAGAGCAAGTGTAGTGAGGTTTTTTAAAGCGGAGAAAATGGAGCATTTATGCCCAAAAGCAAAAGAAAACGCTGTTATGTTTTGTTCAATTGTGTCATTTTGCCATAGTGCAGCGCCACCTAGAGATTATGCAGCAGAAAACTAGGGAAGGGAAACAGGATTAAAAACGGATTAACTGCCTTGTCTAGAAAAATGTTCAAATATGAGGGAATACTTTTCATAAAATGGCACCTGGAACAAGTTGTACAAACACCGTTCAAATGCATGGGGAATGCAGTTCTCCCACCTGAAAACCACTGTGTTAGCCAAATGCAGACTTAATCAATTAATTAATCAATTGAAACATGTATTGATAATCTATGGCAGCCTTCCCCAGCCTCGCTGGTTTGATAGGGTGGTCTAACAAATCTGGAGCAACCCAGATTGTGGGAGGCTGGATCAAAGGGTATATATTTGTCCACATTACCTCAGTTATCAGATCCAACCTTGTAGGGTTATTGTAAATCTCCATGCAGTTACTCGGAGGATTTCTTTTTGTTTGATTAGGGTTGGCCAATGGTTTGTTGCTTTGGTGCAACGTATCAGAAGTGTAGAAGTAGTTGTAAAGCATGCGGTGCTGGCAAGCAGGAGAGCTGCCCATTCTGTGCCTCACATGGACCCTTGAAAGGGAGTCCCCATAAGACCATCAAGTCCAGGATCTCAAATGTTCTAGCGGCAGCACTGCAGGGAGACTGAAAGGGCAAATGTGAGCCCATGCGGGCATGGCTGATGATAGGACAGGTGTGAGGATCTGGAAAGGTCAGCGTGTGCTCACGTGTCGGACAGGTGTCGGACCGTTGATAGGATTCTGAAGGAATCCCTCCCTCCACCTGCCCTCACCTTCTCCACCCCATCTTGCTTTGGCCCCTGTATTCTCCAGGTTACATTCCTCTTTCGTTTTGGCAGCTGCAGAATGAAAATATGTAGACCTTAGATCCCCACCAGCCCGTCTCCAGACAGCCCTTCCAGGGGTCTGGCCCTGCATACGCAGCGCAAGTATCAGGGGCTTTCTCCGAGCGCACGCTGTGAGTTTGGAAACATTCTGCCATCCCGCCTTTTCCGGCCACTTTTGGGTCCCTGACCCACGGGTCAGCGGCACAACCCAATTTTGGGCAGATTTTGCTTGCCTTCCAGCAACACCCGTTCCAGGGGTCCGGCCACAGCGCCGGCGCACCACAGGTATCAGGGGCCCTCTGCGAGCAAACACTGTGAGTTTGGAAGATTCTGCCAATCTGCCTTTTTTGGCCACTTTCGGGGCCAGTGTCACGGGCCGATTTTGGGCATTTTGGGCAGGTTTTGCTTTCCTTCCCACAACGCCCCTTCCAGGGGTCTGGCTAAAGCGTCAATGTACCACAGGCATCAGGCCCTCCTCTCTTGATGCATGTCGGCCACTCTAACCCCTCTCCCACGCAAGCGCCGCTTCCTCCTTCTCGCCAGCCTGGCTTCCTATCGTTCGAGCGGCAGGTCCGGCGCCACCACCTCTGCACGGCTGACGGCCGGAGACGGCGCTACCTGCAGATTTCAGCGGGCGGCACAGTGAGCGGCTCCGGCTACCACAGTCCGTACAGTGAGTGTTTGGAGGAACTCTCGCATCTGAGTCACAGGCAGATTTTGAGCCGGGCAGGGCTCTCTGGGCAGAAATCTCTCCAGCCACCATGGATCGAAGTAGGAACTCTTGCAGGTGCAAGGTGGAGTATCGCTGTAGGATGGGCTGCGCCTTCAGACATCCAGTGATTGCTCCAATGAGCCTGTCCTCCTTCCAGGGCTCACTGGGGCAACCCAATGCACAGAGGCGCAGAGCGTGCCGGCGGGGTTGGTGCGCAGAGCGGCGTTGGGCGCGCACCTGCGGAGGGTCCGTGCCCCGCTAAGGCCGGCGATCGAGAGCTCCCTGCAGTTCCTTTGCTTCTTCGCTGTCGCAAGTGACTTGTTCACCTGTTCCCTGCTCTGCCTCTGGGTGAGGAGGACGAGCAGAGGCTGCTGCTTCCTTGCTCAGTGGCTATTTGTATCAGGTAAGCACACGGTGGCAATGAAATGCGCAGGAAGAGCAGGTGGTGGTGAGGGAAGTGACAAGGTAGATTCAGTGAGCAGCAGGGGGGCTGGTGAGGATGTCTTGCCCAAGGGCTCCCCAAAATCTGAACCCAAAACTGGGTGCTGCTTTTGATCTAGAATGCTCTGTTAGGCCTGGGGCTAGGCTACCTGAAGCTTACCTGCCCTTCTAGGAGCCTTCCTGTGTTTGAAGATCTTCTGGGGAGACTCTACTCTTGGTCCAGCTGCCACGGGAAGTATTTTTGGTAGGGAAGTGAAGGAGGGGCCCCTGCAGCCTCTTCCAAGCTCAGGGATACCTTGACAGACTCTGTGAATTCTCTGTTCTGCCTCTGCCAGCAGTCAAAGGCATTTTATTCAGGGAAGACTTTGGTCAGTTCTGTGCAGAAGGAACTGGTCGGATGCTGGTTCAGTGCACTTATTGTTGGTGCTTTTAATTTATTAGTTCTTATGTTATGTTTTAAATAACATACTTGTGGACAGGGAATGTTGGTTATTGGGCAGATTCAAAATATAATTAATAAATACAATGGTAAAATAATAAGGGTGAGATAGGATTAAATAAGGAAAATATGGGAAGGAAACCAGTTGGAGAAATGGTGGCTATCTGCAGACACACTGAGAGATTTAGAGATATCTATTTGTCGTCTGACTTTGATCTGAAAACCCTCCAGATATTACAGGTAGGGGTGACTCATGGACCTGAAAAATCTGACGAGCAAAAGACCTTGGCTCCAGGATTCCTGGATTTTGCTTCCTCACCTGTTCTTTCCGGGCTTTCTTTCAGGTTTGATGGAACTCAAAGCTGTAAAGAGAGGAATTATTGTTATATGGGCCCCGGAGACTTCAAGGTTTCTCTGCATGGACCACACTGGACACCTCTACACCTCAATAAGTTTGATGCCCGCTATCGATTGTTTGGGAAATAGATGGTATGGAGGCAAGAACTACAGTCAGAGAAATCAGGAATCTGGTGTTCATGCCGTACAGCTTAAAAATGTTACTCAAGGCTGCTCCACCGGTTAGGTGGCATCAAGCTTGAGTTCTTCTCTGAGTATCCACTCAGTGGGAATCCCTACTTAGCTCTGTCTCTCCAATATGCATGCCTTTATCTCCAAACATGGTGGATCTCTTTCATTCACACATTATGTTTCTAGGCTCACCTTAAGTGGAAGCATTTCAGAAGTTAGGTGGTCATCTGTTAAGGTGTTAGTTGCGAGATTCCTGTGCTAAGCATGGCCTGGAGCAAAAGGTCTCCTACCAACCACATATAATGCTGCAATTCTATAGGGTTTCTTAATTTTGTACAGATCATTCTGCACGAAACGACAACATAAGCTCCCTTTGTGTTTCATCCCTCCCTAGATATCCTACCAGGAAGAGGCCTGCAACTTCCGTGAAACAATTCTCCAAGATGGCTACAACGTCTACTTTTCTGAAAGCTACAACCTCCCGATCAGCCTCAGCTCAAGAAGGAACCTGAGTCCAGACCAGCCTTTGCCTCCTTTTTCCCAGTTCCTGCCCTTAGTCAACATGATCCCCCTTGAACCTGAGTCTGTAGATGACACTTCTCAGAACCAGGAACCTGATGTTGAGTCTGATGACCCCTTCAACATGCTTGGCAAAAAACCATGAGCCCAAATTATCTCTCTTGGTAGTTCTGGAACCCCTGAATCTCTTAGGAAGGAGAAAACACTGTCAGACTTTTAGGGCTCTGTCATGTCCAGATAATTGTCATCCTCCAGACATGGAGACTGAGGATCATCATTATAGAACAGGAGAAAGTTTCCCTCTTCCCCATCCTGCTCCTCTTTCCCAATGTTTTAAGATCTGACTGTTTTAAGTGGGGTTTTTATTATTGCAAAATTGTAGGACACTGTGTTTTAAATTTTCTTTTCTTACTTTTTTTGTTAAACCATTCCAAGACTTTGGTAATGGGATGGTCTAAAAAGTTTTAAATAAAACAAACAAAGAAATAAAATATTGCTGCCTCCACCATGGCTGTGATTTGTTTCATATGGCTCCACACTGCTGCAAGTGAAAAAGTCATCCATAGTTGTATCCATGCTGGGTACGGGCAACATATGGCAAACCCACCTGAAAAGCATTTGGAATTTCACCCCACCATGGAACTAGATTCTCCCCCATTCCAAATTGTCCCCACTTACAGAATCTTGATGCAAATATGTGTAAGATACTCATTCTCTGACCACCAACGTGTAATAGTCAAAGCTGGGGAAATGACTTACTGGAGCAGCCATCATTTGGCCTCAGCTGACACCTGGCATGATGTGGCAGATGGGCAGCCCTGCTCTCCAGAAGCCTCTGCTCTGTCCTTTCCGCATCCCTCCGCCCAAGCCACAAGGGAGCAGAACAGCATCTCATGGTGCAGGCATATCAGAATATGCAGTGCAAAGTTTTCTCCTGTTCCTGGGTTTTGAATCTCTTTCAGCCTGAAGGTCAAATGCAGTTCTGGAGAAGCTCTCAAAACTGGGTGTCTGACGTGGGAGGTCAAAGGGAGTAGGACTGAAGCCAAAAGGAGTAGGGCAAAAACAAACAAACAAACAAACATATACAAAGTTCAGCTTGTTAGGGTTTCTTCAGTTTTTACTGGCAGACATTAAGGCTTAAGAGACGCATGTCATACTGGGAAAAATGACACAAAATCTGGGAAGCTGCTAAAATTTCTGACTGGGGGAAAGGGGGTAGAACCAGGCAGGGGAGATGAGTCATTTAGGGAACACCCGACAGCTGCTGTTGGATGCCTAGAGGAAGGGATTTTGCCCCTGCCTTGAAGTTCCTTGCTCCAGTTTTATGGATTTCTCTTCTTTGCCTCAAATTAGGTGTTTTTCTAAAAAATACTTGGAAATCCAGTGTTCATAGATGCCAAAAGTGCATGTATATATTCAGTGAACTCCTTGTAGCTCCTCCACTCTCTATTACCTGTTTCAGGTATGCGTTTCTCTGGGATGTTTTGGAGTCTAAATTCTCCCATAAGCAACCTACAGAGGAAGGAGGGTGGAGAACAAGCCCGTGTGGCAAATTTTCCTACATATTCCTATTCCTACATTTTCCTATTCAAACTGCAGAGGAAAATAATGCATATGAGGAAAGGATTCTTCTTGCAGGCAGGTTTCTGTGGTGTCCACCAGCTGGGCAGAAGACAGGGAGCCCATCTGCAAAAGAGAAAGCATACAAAGAATCATCTTGAAATCAATACCTGGCTGTACCTGTTCATCGTAAGGGCTGGAGTGGCATGGAGCCTGGAGATTGTGCTATGAATCCGAAATCAGATCTCTCCTCTTCAATGAGTCTTTCTCAGATTCGGTCCCTGCGTCAGGATGATACAACCCTGATCCGTATTACAGGGATGTGGTAGGAATTACAGTTAATTGATGCATGCAAAATGCTTGGAATTCATGAAAGAGCTAGATAACCTTAAGTATGGTCCTCATCATCATGGAATCAGAGAGTTAGAAGGGGGCTCAGAGATCTAGTCCCACCCACGGTCTGGCTTCCAGGCAGGGACGGAGTTTATATGACATGCTAGGCAATTGGAGGGGGGGCTCAGCATGTCTCCTGACGCCTCCCCTGCCCCGCTGTCCAGGTTGGTGGTCCATAAATCACCCTGAGGTGGATCACAAACCAACCACGGCTGAAGGAATTTCTCTCACCTCAGGCTTGCCCCATGGTGGAGGTCTCAAATTTCTTCTTGCGCCCTTCCATGCCACTCAAAGCATCAATGTTCTTGCGCCAGTCACCCACTTCCCGATTCTCCTGCAGGACAAGAGGGCAACTGATAGAACCTGGGCTTGTGGGACAAACTACTAGCTTGAGATGGGGCAGAGAAGTCCGGCCCTGTCTCAGCTTCAGCTCCAATCCTAATAGTCTTCAACTGACAATGCCAGGGTTAAATCCAAGATTTTCCCCCTGCAGGGCCACCTTCTACAGTCAAAGCACACAGACCTACAGGAATGGGAATATATGCTGGGAGCAAGATGGGAATCTTGCAGAGGCCAGGTGGCCACTGGGCCAGCCGCTGTCCAGCGCCATAGCCCAGTCTTGCCCTGCCTGGTGTTCTCTGGGTGTTTGGGAGTGTAGCTCCCATTATCCCTGATCAGTGGGAAAGCCAGCTTGTACTCCTCAGCATCTGGAGAGTGCCAGGTTGGTGGAGGCCTCCTCAAAACCTTGGCGTAGTGATGAAGAATATTGTCTCTCCTCTGCTATCGAAGCCCACAGAGTTTAAAGTGAGGTATCTATCCACCCTCCTGTCCCCACTCCCAGCCTCACCTTCTCAGTGTCATCTTTCTTGACCTGTTTGAGATTAGCCCGCAGATCCATGGACACTTTGTGTTTGGAGCCGAGAAGGGCCTGCATCATGGCATCGGCCGAGAGGCGGACCCGGCGAAGGGCAGGGCGCTTAAATTTGCCCCGCAGGTCAAAGATCTTCTGGTTCAAATCCTGGATCTGGAGTGAACAGGTACAACCTCTGTTAACAAATGAGCGAAAGGAGTGGAGCTAGGGTTTCAGGCTTCCCTTGATTTGACGCGCTTCAGATGTGTTTGACAGCAATGCCTATAGTGCTGACTGAGAAGGGTGGGTCTTGTAGTCCATCACATCTGAAAGGCATCTGTTCAGGGTAGGCTATTTAGGTAATAGCCTTTGACCTGGGTACTGTCCAGCTTTCTCCCACACGTCCTCCACGGAGGAAAAGCAAACAAGCTTCTGCAACGCCAAATGCCACTTCAGGTTTTTTACAGCAGGGATTACCTGGGCGTTCAGGCAGCTGCTTATCGCTGCTGATAAACTGATTATTGATGTATTTGTCTAATTCCCTTCCAAAGTCAGTCTCCCGGCCTGATATTGGAAATGAACTGGAAGGGAGAAAAGCAACTGCAGACACACTGTGCATGTATAGGCAGAAACATACGTAGCTGGGCTTAATTTTGTCTAAACATCCATCAGAGCACATCCTAAAGCAGGAGGCTGAACAGAGATTAAGGTGGAGGGCATTTCAGTATCCTACACAGAGCCCCCCTTTTACTGTCAAAGCAAGACACCCCCTCCATCCCTGTTTCTTCTGTGAATACAGCAGACACCTGAAGCGACACCCTTCACTTTCCCCTTAATTAGATTGCTAATTAGGATGAAAATCAGCCTGGTACTGACACCTAGTGGCTCTCCTTAGCACTTCACCTATTCCAAAAATGAGACTTGTGGGAAAGGGAAGATTAACCCTTCCAACCCTAGCTTCAATCTTGTCCGAAAACTGATTCCTAAATGGCACTTAAGCTGGAAAAAAGCTCTTCTGTTGGCACTAACAAAGACATAAAGTTCTATTAAACACATCACAGGTGCTGAGATGCCAACTAGCATGGCTTCTGGGGCTAATGGGAGATGTAACCTAACAGCTCTGAAGGGTACCAGCTTGAAACCTTGATGAATGGTACCTCTGACTCCTCCTGTCCTGCATCAGCAACCTGCAAAGGTGCTAAAAAGATCTAACCTAGACATGATGCTATTCATGGCTTAGTATTGTGAAGCTGTTTTCTTTTCAGTAAATAGTAGGCCTGGATTGGCAGAGAGTCTGGTCTGGCCTGGTCACACTCATGGTGTGGGCAATGGGAGGGAAGGATCCAACTCCTTTAAAAGATCAGCCCCAGTGCCAAACCGGGCCTCCGGTGGGAGCATCCCAACCTCACCTCGTTGATGTTCTTGTTGACCCGGGCCTCCATGTCATAGCGCTCTTCATCCACCTTGTCCACCTGCGTGTGGAGCTGCCGGCACATCTCCTGAAGCGAGTGAGGAGATGTCAGTTGCGCAGCTCGAGCTCAGACTCCAAAGGCACCGCACAGGAGAGGGCGCTCTGCTCGCTGAACACATCCAGAGCGCCTTGCCTAAACCGGGGCTGCAGCTGAGAGCAGGAGCAGTTGGGTACCCGTTGAGGAGCCCCAGCGAGCAGGGTCTGGCGGGTAAGGGCCCCCTGGCTCGGCTCCTCCCCTCTACCCTTGCAGCCTGCTTGCTCATCTGACTCTCCCTCTGCCCAGGCGGTGGCAGTGGTGAGAAGGAGGGGGTGGAGGTGCCGCCGCCGACTGTTTGCCAAGTGAGCACGTGGTAGCAGTGATTAGAACGAGCGGCGGCATTCCTAATCGCCGCCTCCCACACCCCGGACTCTGCTGTCTTGGGCAGCCACCTTCCTCTGCCTGGCCAGGCCCTGAAGATGGAGTGAGCTTCCTCTTGCTCACCTGCTGGAACACGGACGGCACCCCATCCGTGGGGGCAGCTCCCTCTTTCAGCCACCCGCCCCCAAATACCTGCAGCTCCGTGGGGCCGAGTCCTGCCAGATCCAAGGGGACGCAGTGCTCGGAGAGGTAGCGCTCCTTCTCCTGGGCCCGCTCTTCATCCTCCTTTTCCATGTCATGCTTTGCCACCTGCAGCATCAGCGACTGAGGCAAAAGAAGAGGCAGCTTGATAAGGCCCATGAGTTTAGCCGTGCTCAGGCACTCCGGCACAACAAACAAGTCCAGGACCGCTCAGTTTCGTCCTTGAGGGGTGGCTTTGTGTCTGGAGAGCTTTCACAGCCTCTCCAGCCCCCCAGAATCCTGCTGGGTGCGCCCCTTCCACAAGTTACTCCTTTGTGCCTGCCAGTTGCAACCCCCTGATCTCCAATTTCACAATCTTACCTTGAGCTGCAATTTCCGGGATGCTGTTATCTTGGATTTTCTCTGTGATGGAACGGAATAAAACAGAAACGGTTAATAGGAGGTGAGCTTCATGTGATCCTCCAGAAGTCCAGCAACGGTTCCAGTCCCAGGCCAAAGGGTGGGCTGCCCCATCCTGGCCACCCCACACTGGCCTGCCATTCTGTTTGAAACTGCCTTGCTGCTACCAGCTCACCCATGTGGCTGCTTGCTGTTGCCACTGCACCAGGACTAGAAACTCCACATCTGGTGCGGCAGTGCCATTATTAAGCCCATGCGTGCCAATGCACTGACCTGCATGTGCAGAACCTTTCCGCGCAAGTGAAAGGCTTTTCAAGGCCGCCAGGTGGGGCACCCTCCCTTGAATCGGTGGGAGCATTTCTTCCCCTTCAAATGGCTCAGCTCAGCCTCTTCAAGCAAGCTGGCCAGTAAGAGAAACCCACTTCCTTCTGCGAGGGGGTGGGGGGCTTCCTGTGTTGGGCTGGAGGACATTGTTGGCAGCTCAGGACTGAGCCAAGCCAGACAATCACGCTCTCAAATTTGGTTGCGTGGAAGAAGGGAGAGATGGGAGAATGGGAATGAGAGCAAGGACATCCTTGCTTGCTTCCTATTTCTCCATTTGCTTTGAGGAACTAGAATAGGGGCGCACTTTCTGGATATGTACACTTCTTGTAATGGGGGTGGGGGAAGGGGTCTCTAATTCATTTGTGGTTCTAGGAAAAAATGAGAGCTAAACTGCAAAAATCATTGGCTGGTTTATGTTGCAATTGTGTGTCCTGAGGAAAACCAGGATGGTTAATAATGTCCTTGTGAGCCTGCAAAAATAATGAGCTGGCTTATAATGATTTCTACAATGTTATGTCTTTTAAGAGAACTTGGCCAGATGGTTGGCAGGCTAAGTTTTATATATTTCAATGCCCCTCTGTACAATGTTGGCTGACTCCCCAACTCCACCTCTGCTGAGCTGTGTTCTGCCTCCCCAGTCACAGGGGCCACGAGTCACCACTGCTGCTGGTACTGCTGGCTTGGGTTGCTGAACAGCCAGCCAGTGAGAGGGCCGCCTGAGCCAGGCATCCCAAGCAGCTCCCAGGATTGCCTCCCCCTAAATCCAGCCCCGTGTAGTTCTGCCCTCAGATTCACCTTCCATGTGCCTTTAAAACAGGGGTGGGCAACTGCTGGCCCTCCAGATTTTTGGCCTGCCAATCCCATCAGCCCTAGCCAGCACAGCCAATGGGCAGGGATGATGGGAGTTGCAGGATAAAGCACCAGGAAACCACCAGGTATAAACCCATGGAAGCTGGAACTCACCTTATCATGTGGCTCAATGGCATAGGCTCGATAATTGGCAGAGGACTTTCGGCGGAGGGGAGGGACGGTAGCGGGGGGAGGGGGTGGGGGAGCAGGCTTGGGTGGCGGCGGGGGCTCCGGCTTTGTCTCTGTGATAGTTTCTTCGGTCTCCTCCTCCACATATTCTTCCTCCTCCTCCTCCTCTTCCTCATACTACAGAAATAAAGGGTGCATTTATTTAATCATGTTCACTAGCATATTGTCTTTAAGAGATGCTACAGAGAAGGGTGCTTTCAATTTGTTTGTTTCAAACGCCCTGAAAGTTTCCTGATTTTTAGAGGGAAGAAGAGGGAAGGGGCAGAGATGGAATCAGTCTTCCACTTTTGGTTGACATCTTTTGATGGTGGCCCACTTACACCGACCTGGTGTCTTCCAGGTGCGTCGGATGGTTCACACTGGCCTTGCTGGCTGAGAATGGAGAGATCTGCCGTCCTGCCCATCTGGAGGGCAATAGCCGGGGGAAAGCTGAAGCACTCCACCCTGCTGCCCCCTTATTCAGAAATGCCATCCTTGCTCGAGAACAAAATGAAGCGAGATCGGGGCATGTACTGTAAGATGTCCTCCATTCAGATCGAGGGCTTTGTTTATGCCAGGTTTCAGCCTCTGTAGGGAGAGCCTCGTGCTAAGGTTTAGTCACTAGATGGCACTGGAGAGGCGGGTTTCTTGTGACTGTTTTGTGCAGGTTGGAGAGGGGCCACATCGCTGGCTTGTGTGTGCATCCTCCGGCCAAAACCTTCCACGAAAGCCTTCCTATACCTTCCCAGCCTGAGTTTCAGTTTCAAGTTTTTTTTTCCCCTGGAGGGATGTGGAGTGACGATAAAGAAGCGCTCCACTGAACACATGGTAAGTGAATTTTCTTCAGCGTCTCGTGAGCAAAATTTCTCATCACACACATTTTCAAGGCAGAGCCTGTGCCTTCCCAGGATTGCTTGGATGCTCTCTGTAAATCACATGCTGGTGGAACACATGGCTAAATATGATCATAACAAGCCCTGTGCAGACAGTCACATCTCAAGATACTAAATCCAGACTTTTTAAAGGCATGGCACTGTTTCTAAATTCTAGACTGAAATGACGCTGGTGATTTCTTGCAAAAGTTATCCTAACCTCTTTTCTTAGGGCTTTTGCTCTGGCTCAGCCTAGCAGAGATGCTCTTCCAAAGTTTATCTTGAGGGACTAAGGGACTTAGACCTTATGGCTAAGGTGGAACCTGGCAAGATCCAAAAGCCATGGGTCAGCTGACCATAACGGATTTGCTGTATTTTCCAAGAAGATCATGATTATGATGGATCTGCAGGCACTTAGTTTTGGTAGAATACTCACAACTTAACGTGGGCAGACTTTACTGTGTTTATTTAGCAATCTGCAGCTGCAATCCTGTGCATGTTTACATAGAAAAAGACCCTGTGCTGGCTAGGGTTTCTTTCGAAACATGCATGGGATTGGGCCCTTAGCCCTGCATTCCACCAGTTCATTTCATCATCAGCATCACCACCACCATCCCAACATTGCATTTATATCCTGGCGTTTTCCTCTTGAGGTGAACCCTCAAGTGAATTACATAGTTCCATCTTATCCTCACAGCAACAACCCTGTGAGGTAGGTTAGGCTGAGAGGGAATGACTGGTCCAAAGTCACCCAGTTGGCTCCACAGCTGAGCGGGGACTCGAACCCAGATCTCCCAGGTCCCTAGTCCAGCATTCTAACCACCCGCCCATGCTGGCCGTGTTTACCCCATATGGACAGCCACTTGTCCTTGTGCATTAAATAATGGATCTAGAGAAGGAAAAGATTGCAATAAAAAGCAAATAAAAGGTGTTTATTTTCACTGGTTTCCAGGATGCTCTTTTGTTAATACTTACAGTAATTGTTTCTCTGTAAAAAACAGAAGGAGGCATATTAGTCAGACTGAAAATAATCCTCTTTAATTTACACCACTCTGTCCATCCCCACCAAGCCTCAAAGCTGTCTTTTGAAGTGTTTCCCCCGATTAGTACTGCCTTACTTTACATTTACTTTTAGGATTGCTCCTAACCTAGGGAAACTTTGGCTCTCACAGTCTTTCTTCTAGCCCTAAAAAACGTAATTCCCCCTCCAGAGGCACAGCCAATTCTGGTTCCATTTCCAGGGCTGTAGAAACAAAATGTCCCATGTTCTTGCTCCCTAGACCTTGGTTCTTGGAGAGTTCAGACATATATCCCAGATCTACCACCACCACAATAACACCATGTGCCACACTTCCTATAACTAATAATTAAAAAAATAACAACTACTTACTCTTCTGCCATGCCGAGAAATCAAACTTGGGATGGTCTAAAAACAAGACGTTAAAATGTAAGAAGGTAAGAAAAGCCCTGCTGGATCAGGGCAATGGGACATGTGGTCCCACATTCCGTTCACGCAGGGGCAAGCCAGCTGCCCACGAAATGACCCCGGCAGGAAGTGAATCCAACAATCCCCATCTGCCAAAGCACCTCAGCACCTGGTGTGTAGAGCCTTGCTGTTTCTAGGTAGCATGTCGCTATGGAGACGAGTCGCCATGCTAGCCTTCTCCATGAATTTATCCAAAAGCCACCCCATGGGGTGACCATCACCGCTTCCCGTGGCAGCAAATGTCGCATTGCGTATATCGTGACTCCCCTTGCTCAACTTTTTCTAAGCTGAACAATCCCAGCTGTTACAACCTTCTTTTGAAGCCCCTGATCATTTTAGCTGCCCTTCTCTGCATTTTTTCCTACTGTGCCATGTCCCTTTTAGTAGTGACAGAACTGTACACACTGTTCTAAGAAAAGTCACACCAGAAATTCATGGAATTATAGAATGGTGGCATTGGAAGGGGCCTGTAAGGCTATTGAGTCTACTCCTGGCCTTTTCTGGCAATAATTGCAATTCTCTCTCTTGAAAATGTTGCCCAAGAGCAAGCCTTTCTTTTGGTTTTGGAGTTTTTGGAAGTTTTGGAGCATGCTTGCCTTTCTTTTTTTTTTTTGTTCTTTTTTTTTGCTTGCCTCACTGATCAGACCTTTTTGTACTGACATACGTGTCCGAACAATGCAGCAGACAAGCCGTTATCGCTGGCACTCCAGAGCAGCTAAATTTGGGCTGTCTTATCACTTCTACAATGGGGCCAGGCCATTCCACAACCAGGCCTCCTTGGCAGAATGAGCGCCACAAGACCAGGGGCAGGGGTCGGTTTGGTCCCCAGCTTGCTTGCCCTGGCTCAGCCCCATGTCAGTGCTGCATGGGGAGAGAGATGCTTCTTTAAAGGGATCCCTCCGCCTGCCAGAAACCCCACTGATTCATGGAGGGATGAAATTGTGGCTGACTTTCCAATATCTGCGGAGAGACTTGATATTTGTGAGACGGGCTGCCTTCAAATAAATGCGAAGACTTCTCCTTTCCAAGCAAGGGAAGCAGAAATCTCACAGGCTTGCAGCAAAAAATTCAGAAGCAGCCTCCCTGCCACCCAGCCCTACTTGGAGAGCTGCGAAGGGACGCCTTTATTCTTAGCGTTAGGTGTGAAACCAACCATTCAGCACCCTTTCTGGAGACATCTGCTGCCAGAAACAGACAGAAATAAAAGGCAGGCCTTCTCTGCTTCTTCAAAACACTTCTAATCACTGTTATGACTGGCTTTATTTCCCAACCTAATGGGGCTGGCTCCAGATTCGGAGAACACCTTTGGTATTGAGGTCTCCAGTGGCCTCCAAGTGGGGGGACCACTTCATGAGCCCAGGAAGACTTCCCTGAGAGTGGATGAAAACAGCTGAAGTCCCTGCAGGTGGCCTGTGGGTATGGAGGACTGAAATTGCGTCTGCTGCCCACTCGCTGGGTACAGAGAAGGCATTCCTCAAACAGGACCCCGCACATAAATGAAAAGCCTGATGACATGGATAGATTTCAGATACTTGCACCCTGCTTCTCTAGCCCAAAAGCTTTAGGGTGACTAATCAAACAAATCTGGCAAAACCCAAAAGTGGAACAGCTGCAACTTAAAAAAAGAGAATTTTTAAAAAAACAGGACTAAGAAATGCATTTCAGGATAATTAAAGGTGCAATGCTTGTGTATGTTTAGACAGAAATAATTCCTGCACCTCCCAGTATCCCCCAGAAAGCTGGAAGTTGTAGGACTTATTTCTGTGTAAATGTGTGCATGATCGTGCCCCGAGCTTTCACTCCGCCATAGTGTACATTAACCTGATTAGATGCTTTGCAGGCAAGGCAGATTATGCCTTCTGTTGTATATATGTATTAAGGATTGGTTTTAATTTTCAGGTAATGCTACCATTGTACAATTTCTCAGTGTGGAGAGAAAGGAGGGGTAGAAAAATAATGATAAAAGGAGGCAATTCAAAAGTGCAAGTGCTAAACTGAAATAATTGTTCATGTAAATAATATTGGCTGATAAATTTAGTTATCCTGAACAAGCATTGTGAGGTTTGCATCAGCTGCTGTGCAAGACAAAAATGCTTGCACTGGGCTCCAACCTAGCTGGGACTTGGTTCTGGAATGTGATCAGGAGCTGAATCTCTCTCTCAGATTGGTATGTATTGCCTGTGTGCTTGCTTCTATTTCTCTGCCATACCTGCTCAAGCGATATGCACTACAGGGATACAACAATTTTCACGTACTAAAAAAAGAGACAACCCTATAAAGAAAATAAAGCCCTACACAGCTTAAAGCACAATTTAGTGTACTTTGCAAAGACTGCACAAATCTTCTCACTGCTCAGTAACAGGTGAAATATTTGAATGTTTAAAAACCAGATGAAAGGGAGTATTCCTTGTATTATTATGTGCTCCTAGAGGAAAGGTTGCCCTCTATAGCAGAAACTCCTACATACAAAGCCTCCTCCTCTTTTCCAAAGCAACTTAACTGCCCCCACTTACCTGGTGGGTGATGGACTGACCTTGGCAGGACAGTTTCCCAGTGATTATGGGCACCAACATGGCTGGTGGCCTTTTATAAAGACAGAAACTCAGCACCAACTAAGCCTTTTAGGGAAGAAGGAGAATGGGACACATTCCTCTGATAAGGGCTGACCAAAGACACTCATAGAACCAGGGAGAGAAAGGATTGCTTTGGCAGGCAGAGCCTCCAATGGAAAAAAGGGGCTTATATTCAACTCCCACCTTTGCTCCAGAAACAGAGCTGCGTACACATCAAGAGCCTTCCCCCAGATTCTGCCCCAAACGTGGGGCACAGTGCTCTATGAAGGAACACCTGGAGCATGTCGGATAGTCACACTGAAGACTCCTAGCTTCTTGGTAAGGCCTTGGTGTTAGACTACCCCAGCCTTCTCCAAGCTGTCCTCCAGATGTTTTAGACTACATACCTGAGCAAGTAGTCTTGACTGACTGGGGCTAATGGGAATTGAAGTCTAAAAAACTGCAAGGCCCCATTCACACCTATGAATGGACCATGTACATTAGCAGAACCTCTGTGTGACAATGAATGCTGCACACCAGAGAGTGGAGTTTGAGAAGAGTTTGGCCATGAGCGTTTCATGTAGTTGAAGGAATCCTCATATTGTCTGAATATACTGAGTCTGTTTTTTATATTTTTTATTAAACTAACAAAAATATTGCAGTTAATATAACAATAATGACCATAATTAAACATGATTAATGAACACAATTAAACAATACAACAATACCAGTGCTGCCTCCACCAGGACCAACATATCAAGTCACTCAGGTTGCCCCACTTCCCTTCCAGAACTGCATTGACTCTTGTGTTGGTTCACATCCCTTTCCTTTTATTAAAACATATGCAATAAACACCAAGTATTTTGACATTTATTTTTAGTTATCACGCATTTTTCCATTTAATATCACAAATTAACTTCATTAATAGCTATATTTCAGACTTTATACCAGTCAACTATTTGATATTTACCTTTTATTTTGGTATTACTAATCTTACTGCTGTTAATAAATTTATCATCAATTATTTACACTGGGTCTGTTAAGGAGAAGTTTACCCAAATATTAGACCCAGGCCTGGTGTGGAAGGCTGAACATTTGGGGAGTGTCTGTATGATGAGCTTGGTCTAATCCTAATCTACCTTCCAGGATTATGGCTAGGATAAAAGGCCAGAGTATGGGCAGCAGAGAGGAGTCCAGGTCCCAAGGACAAGAGAGAGGATAAGAATAGAATAACCACAATTGTACAGAAGTCTCTCCTCAGCACTTCCCAGCCAGGGTCTCCTTCTGTGTCATGGTAGCTTTCCTTTCCTTTCCTTTATGGTGGGTAGCCATTATCGCAACTGCTATGCACGATGCCGATTTTGGATATGCTGGCATAAAGATCTAAATAAACAAAACACCCAGGCAGCAGTTCTTCCCCAGAGCTTTCTATATTCAAGGAATCCTTCCCTGCTTGCCACAGCGTTGGCTGCATATTGCAAAACATTTCGGAGTGTTTCTACTGGCTCGTGCGTTGCTCACACAGGCCAGTGAACTTCACTCTCATTCTGTGGGAATGGAGAACGCATTCTTGCACGTAGCGCCTTGTGGCAGTGCATGGCAAGAGAAGAATGGAAGCAGCAAGCTAGTTCTCCTTCAGGGAAGCTTAACCATGGTCCACTACCACTGGTTATCTTGGCCAGGAGCCCTTGAGAGATTTCTGGTTTCAAAATCTCTGCCTTAGAATAGGGAATCTTTGCCCAGAGGAGAACGCAAGAGAGCTGGTGGTCTGGGAGGGTATTGCCCACTTTCTCGATTGCCAGTTCTTGGTTATTTCCAGCCATGCACTGAGAAATGGGAGTCATTTTTTTCAGGGCACAGAGGGGAATCCACAGGAACTGGTTTTCTTTGCCCCTCACATAAAGGTGAGGGAAGCCTTTGGGAACTGTTGCTTCGAAGTGCTCCAGGTCCCCTGAGGCAGTGCCTCTCAAATTAGTCAGTTTCCTTCTCCACTTGCCCTAGGAGGAATGATCCAAGAGTTCCAAAGTGCTGATGCTGTGCACCAGGTGAAGACAGAGCAGTGGAAAGCAATGTTGTTCCCTGGATACTGACAAGAGGGCATCATTTATTTCTGCTGATTACTTGGGAACAGTTCAATAACCAACCCCCTTTATCTTCGGCCATGTAACAGACGGACAGACGGACGGACAGACACCCTGACTCTGACAATTAAAATAATTCCAGAAGCAGAGGGGTCCCTCCCCATGATCTGATATCTGCTTCACAGACCGACAATCTTGATCTTTACAGCTAGGTATTTTTTATTGCACAACAATAATAAAATGCACCCAGCAACGCTTAAGAAGGAGACTAGTGTATAAAGGGAATCAGGGACTAGATGCTGTCATCAAAGGGGCTCTTTCATTGTGGATCCAAAGCTTCCTGGTCCTCAAGCTGGAACAAGGAAAATGGTTTTTTGTCTGTGGTTTGGACAGGCACAAATCCCGCCTCCACTGCCAGGCTGGATACTCGGGAGGAGAACTCAGACACCTGCTCCTTGCGAAGATCAGGCAGGAAGCTGTGAGAAGAGGTGGAGAAGTAAAGAATGAGGGGACAGTACTCAGCGCCCTGGCTAATTTGTCAAACGTGGCTCATTAATTCAGCCCCGGAGCCCTCCCAGAAGACCAGAACACTGGATGTCTGCAACCAGCCCCTCCATTCGGAAAGGTACCAATTGCCACTACCTGCCATTCATTTGAGTACATTCTGTTCATCTGTGCAGCCAGCAACACCCAACTGCTTTCCATCTTCCCAAGAATGGAGAGTCCTTTGATTTCTGACGGCTGATTCTGCCAAATTTCAATAGCCACCAATGCCTGCCTGCTTTTTTAAATGCACCTTTTTAAAACTGCCTTCTGTTGAGTCTGAACATCAGTTCTCCTAGCTCAGTACCATCCCTCTTATGTCTTAGGGCAGAGAAAGATCATTCCAGTCTGCATCCTTTTCACATGCACCCTTTAGACACAAGGTGCAAACAGCAAAAAAGAGGACATGTATTTTTCTCAGAAATAAACACACACACACACACACACACACACATTAAATAGAACACACATTTCTATTCCACATACACCATTAAAATCTGAGACCCATAAAGGCAAACATGACCAGATGACCAGAGATGCCTGGATAAAGTTAACTGGGGTGAATGAGTGGTACCCTATGAGCAGGCCTCTTGGCAAGGATCTTCAAACCTAGACTTCTGTCTACTGCACCTCAGTGGCCCTCTTCCTCTACTGAGAGGCTGGCCTCTTTCTGCCAAGAGAGAATAAAGAAAATAACACTTACTCTGTCAGTTCAACAATGAGAGTGGCTTTTGGGGCTGACAGCAGATTCACATTTGGTTTTAGGAAGTGCACCATGCTGTAAAAGGCAGGAGGAGGTAAGCAGAGAAAAGAATATCTGTGAACTTTACTGTTTTGTTTGCTGATGCACAAGCACTCCTTAGCTCAATTTGGAATTGGTTTAGTAAATATAAGTTTAGGAAAAATGGCAATTTTCCCAAGGCTTCCTTCCTGCATCATTGTTCTAGTACCTTTGGGCAGATGGCACTTCATGCACACACATGACTGAATTCTCCCACCCCGGGGAACTGTAGTTCCTAATAGCAAAGATGAGGGAGAGGCCTTGAAAATTCAACACCTCCACCCTATCCCATATCAGGTATGTGTTTATTTTCCTCTCTCCTCCATCCTTTCCCCTGTTTTGTTTAGTAAATTGCAAGACATTAAACCATGAATCACCTTGAGCACTGCAGAAAGGTGGCATAAACAAACACAATGTTCCTATGAACAACACAGGGGTTTAAGTGTTGACTGTGTAGGTAGAAATCAGATTAAAGAAAGAAAAAGAAACATTTGAGAAAGGGGCCTTCCAGCAGAGAAGAAACTCACCCAACACAAGGCTGCTTGGTTGGGTGACACAGGCACAATAGTTTGCATTAATGAATGCCATCCAGAGTAAAAGGACCTTTTGAAGCAGGCCCAGGGTCTGTCCTGCTGAACGCACAGAACTTCTGAGGGGAAAGGACCCCATAGGCAAGCATTACGAGGCGAGCCGGTTTGTATTCCGTGGGAGGTCGTTTCAAGCTCTGATCATAACATCAGACACACTGATTTTTTCTCTCTCCAGATACTCCAACAGCTCAGGATATTCGCAACCAACACCCCAGTTTTGCAATGGGAAGCATACAAACCCTGGCTCACGTATCTTCTCCACTCCTCTAGCCCAAGTGCCCAATGCCCTCACACTATTCCTACCTGCAAGAGAAGAAGATGAGGTCGAAGAGCTTTTGGTATTTGCATTTGTGATGGAGCTCAGAGAGGCAGTTGAGAGGCAAGAAATAGACTCGGACGTCTTCTGCAGTGGGAGGGCCTATGGCATTGGAAAGACATGAAGGAATGGAGGAGCTGAACAGAAGGGGAAAGTGGGAAAGGTGCAGAGGTGACCTGCAGCTAAGCAGAAAGTGTAAAAGTAAAGCTGAAAACCAACTTTCCAAGAATTTGGAGTCTAGCACTTTCCGCATATCTGTTTTTATATATACATATATAGAAATTCGAATCCAACACATGCAGGTATCTATAGAGCAAGACTATGAACGAAACACACTTTCCTAACTTGGTGCCCTTCAGATGAGTTGGGATCGGATTGGCACTCTCTACTTAGACTGGCAGTGGCTCTCCAAGGAGTCAGGTACCCAGGCCTTTCCCAGCACTGCCCTTGGAGGTCCTTTCAAGTACAGATGCCAAGGACTGAACCTGGCAGTTTCTACTTGCAAAGCACCTGCTCAGACACCGCAACACAAAATGCAGGGAATTCTGAAGTTTAGTGATTCTGAGTGCTGCATTATGAACCTGAAGAGGCAAAAATCCACCTGCAACTCCCTACCCTAGTAGCCACTCACACTGCCCTCTGTTGGATGACTAGTGCAGAAAAGATTTGCAAAGAATTCATTTCAAGTGCTTTAAACATATTTCATTTGCTTTCCCTCTTTTATCCCATGGGTCTATTTATCTGAAGGTGTTAGACTGTTTTTAGGGGCATAAGTGGACTCTGGGGGACGGTGGAGGACAGGAAGGCCTGGAGGAATGTTGTCCTTGGGGTTGCGATGGGTCAGACATGACTTCGCAACTAACAACAACAAGGGGCAGGGAATCATGTAAATGCTTTGAAACCTAAACTCCTGGGGCACAGAAAGATCTAAACCAGCCATAGCCAGATGGACTGGAGTGCAATTCCCAGCAACAGTCATACTAGCTAGAAGCAATGGGATTTCCAGGTCAACACACCTGGAGGGCAATCAAGTGAAACCCACAAATAAAGACTTCTCAGCATCCTGGGGAAGCTTCTGCCTCAGAAGAGTAATGAAAAAGACACTTCAAGGTCCCTAAACAGAGAGTGCTGACTAACTACTCACCACTGGTAGCATCTGGCTGGGGACACGCACCACTGCCACCAAGCTCGTCGCCACCACCGCCTTTGCCCTCTGAGGGTGCCGGTGGGTCATAGCGGGTGTGATAAAAGAGCTCATACAAGAGGGCAGTGACATTATGCAAGGAGATTTCCTGGGCACTCTATGGAGGGAAAAAGCAGTTTGAGTTTTGTATCTGCCCCTCCAGGACGCCCCACACTCACTCCGTTTCCTCATATGACTGCTCTGCAGCTTCCTTATGCCATGCATGTCAATGGTCCTGCAGTCTTCAGGCACAGGGTCCATACAGAAAGGCCTCAGCTGAGCTATGAGCCTGCTGGAAAAGTGCCCTCACTGCATTTCGGACAGATTTACTTGAACCCCTCTTTAACTGAGTTCAGGGGAAATTAGGTTTCCAAGAGAAGCTGGTTTCATCAGTGCAGACTGGCCAGGCTTTGTGCCTGTCAGTCACAAGGCTAGCTCCTCCACCTTCTTGGGATAGTTCAAAAAGAAAAGAGATCGGCAACAAAATGGCTAAACAGAGCATTAAACAAACGTTTAAGCAGCAAAGCATGCAAGTTGCCTGTTTACAAAGTGGGTGGAAGAAGGGACTGAAACGACCGTGTTTGATTGGGAGCCTGTAAATGTGTTCATTATGGAGCAAAGGCCAATGGAAGAGGAGCTCTACCTGTGGAGAAAAATCCGCACTGCTTCCATTTGCAGGGATATCTGAATGCAGCCACAGACTTCCCTCCCCTGCATATAAAGCAAAACTGAATTTCCTGGTGCTCAGCAAAAGGCAATCTTACTTACCTTACTGGGCAGGCCATTGGTTGTTTTCAGCAGCTCAGGATCTTCAGCCTCAATTCCAAATGTGATGTAGGGGCTCGTGGCTATGTCGCCCCAGTATCCCCGAGCTGGCACTGGCTCCCCTTTCTGGGAGGCGAGAAGCCTGGATTAGTTCATTTGGTTTATCATGTCACTATTTTTATCCATACTGGAGTGTCTATTAGGCTCAGAACCTAGCTGAGGAATGGCAGCAACAAAGAAGACCAGGTTGGTAGGGGGTGGGGGGTAAGGAGTTGTACAGAGGAAAACTGACTGGCAGGGAGAAACTCTCTTCCAATTTGCAAGTTTTCCCCTTATGTTAGCATTACAAGACAAACCTGGAACTTGGGTGCTGGCATCTCCAGGCCATGGGCATGAGGCCTCAGCGGCACAAGAACTGGGGACCACAAAACAGATACAGGAGACTGCCTGAGGTCCCAAAGACACATCAGTGCACTTCATTGTGAGGAAGACTTCTGCAAATATCAAGGTCTTTTCATGATGCATTGATAACTCGTACAGACAAACTGGGTGGGGGGGGGAACTGGAACAAGTATTTTATGACAGCGCTGGAAGGAATGGACTCTTGGAAAACAGACCTACTTCTTTAGCTGTGCTCAGAACTGTACCTGCAACTAGAAATTGTCTCTGGATACTTACCCAGAAGAGCAGAGGAAAATAAATTATAAGAAGAATTCCAAGAAAACCCGAATGAGTGGTTGCAAATGAGACCGCCTTTCACAGCACTTTAGAAACATGCCAGCTGCTACTCTGTGCTCAGCACTGCACTGCAGTGGCACGAGGCAGCCTCTGTGGTCGCTGCGAATGCTGTTCTGGGAGATGGAGAAATCAGGGGGCAGCAGGGCCAAACGTGGCACGTGGCCCGCACTTCTCACCCTTGGGTCAGAGAGACCTGGAGTCTCAGCTGTGAAACTCACATCACAATCCTGGGCCAGTCATTCTTTCACAGCCCAGCCTGCCTTGCAGGGCTGTTGTGAAAATAAATGGGGGAGAGGTGGATAAAAACAAACAAGATGGGGGTTGACAGAAAGGATGGTATCTTGCCTGACCATGGGTCACACTCCTTACACCCCATCCCTGTAAAAGAAACAGACACCAGTTTCATACTCGAGTGATGACCTAGCCCAGGCTGTGCAGAATCTCAAGAAAGAGCAGCAGCTCACGTGTCTTAGGAGACGCCCAGATGCCAAGGTCTTGTTGGGGACATCGTAGGTGGCTTCCCGCATTTCAAAGGCCACACCTGTGTCACGCCACTGGAAATACTCACGGAAGTTTATTACTTTGGCCTAGTAAGAAGAAGGAATATAACAAATGCAGAAAAACACAGAATCAGTTCCCAGGCTCCTTCCTGTGTGTTGCAGCAGACTCAAACGGAGCCCCTGGGACTCATTCAGCCACCTCCAGATACACACCCCATGTTCATGCAGCTTCATGGTGAGATCCCAGTCACACACCCCACGGCGGGAGTCATAGCGGGTGCCCAGGTACTGTCGGAGTCGCAGATCCCAGAGCCGCTTGATCTGGAAAGCTTGTGGGTCAGGATTCCTCCAGAACCGGAAGATGGCCTCCAACTGGTCCCGCTCCTTGAACTGCCCATGAAAGAACAAGTGTTTGTTAGTTGCTGGAGCCAATGCTCCTGAATCCCCCTAGAGGGGAGAAGAGTCTAGTGGGTGGAACTGGACAGGAATGGAAGGCATGGCACTTGGATCCTCTGGAAGGACAGACAGAACGAGCCAATAATGTGATGCAGCCGCCAAAAGGCCAAATGCTATTTTGAGATGCATTAACAGAAGTATGACTTCCAAATCATGAGAAGTAGTAGTTTCTCTATACTCCTCATTAGTCAGACCTCACCTGGAATACTGTGTCCAGTTCTGGACACCATGATTAAAGAAAAATGCAGCAAAAATAGAAAGGGCAACAAAAATGATTCAGGATTTGCAAACACTGCCCTGTGAAGAGAGACTGAGAGAACTGGGCATGTTTTGCCTTGAGAAGAGCAGACTGAGGGGGAGACATGATATCCTTCTATAAGTACCTCAAAGGCTGTCACAAAGAGGAAGGGTTTTTTTGCTGATGCCAGAGTGTGGGACACAGAATAATTGATTCAAAATGTGACAACCCACATTCAGGCTAGGTATCAGGAAAAGCTTCCTCTGTCAGAGCAATGCAACAGCGGAACCAGCTGCCTGGAGAGGTGGTGGGCTCTCCCACACTAGAGACATTCAAAAAGAAACTGGACAGCCATCTGAGAGGGATGATGTAACTTGGTGTCCTCAACGGCAGGGGGTTGGACCCAGTGGCCTTCATGGCCCCTTCCATGCTCTGCTCTTCTATGATTCTATGACAATAGGTGGAGCCCAGAACCCAGAAATGCAATGATAGCTCACCAAGCATCCCTCCTCACCTCCCTGTTCCCCAATCAACCTTTTACTGCTGAATTATTTTGCATTTCACCTTGAGGTTAGACAAGTCCAAGGTGGGTAGGTGTGTCTGCTGAAAATCAAGGTCTGTGACATAACGTATAAAGAGGTCTGCCTTCTCCTGCAGGTAGGCAGCTGTCTGGCTTCGAAGCAGCGTGTTCCCCATCAGCTCAAGGAATGTCTCACTCTTCTCTTTAGTGGGAGGAGAAAGAAGAGACATTGCTGGTTATCTTTTAGTAGATGTCTCTCTCCTTAAGCTCTCAGATGATGGGCCTAATGCCCAAATTCCTGGATCCCCAGAAAAGGGACTGAGGCTGTTGACCAGGGTCAGGGTTCGGAGTGTGTGTTTGCCTTCACCTTGCAGCCCCATCTTCTCTGCAGGCTCCAGAGCCAGACTCAGGAACAGCAGCTGCCGGGCCAGGGCCTCCAGATTGTTCTCCAGCACGAAGAACTAAGTAGAGAGAGAAGCAATGAGGGGAACAAGCATTAAACGGCCCCCAGTTTCAGAGGGTGCACAAGGGAATGCATATGAATATAGGCAAAGGATCATATACCAAGTGGGAGCATCAGACCCTCTGAAGCTGCCTTATAACAGGTCAGATCATTGGACTGTTTAGTATCATCAGTGGCAGCTGGCAGCAACTCCCTGAGTTTCAGGCCAGGTTCTTCTCCAGAACCAGCTAGAGCAGGGGTCTCAAACTCAACTTACCTGGGGGCCGCTGGAAGTAGAGTCTGGGTGAGGCTGGGCCGCATCAAGTATTCCACCCCCGCAGTGGTGGTGGGCCGCTCATCCCGCGGCTGGCCCGGGCGCCATGGCACTTTGAAGGCCGCAGGGCCCCTCCCCCGTGCCCCCCCGTCCCGGCAACTGGCCCGTGGGCCGCGAGTTTGAGACCCCTGAGCTAGAGGGACCACTGAATGCACTATGACCATCTGTATGTCAGCAGGTGCTCTGCCAGTGAGCTAAAGCCCTTCCCTACTGCTATTATCTGAATAGCAGTGGCTCTTCAGCCTCTTGGACTGATGGATTGTTTACTCATCCCTGCCACCATTTGATGGTGCAGCTGGGTAATTTTAGGCCCTGGACTTAATGGCCTATCCCTCCCACCCCTGGTTTAGAGGGCCATATTGCATTACAGCAGGAGTGACGCACACAACCAGCATTTCTCGTCTCCAGTCCAACATTCATTACAGCTGGCGTGCGTGCCTGTTTCACAAGAGTGAGGAAAACAACCCAGACAAATAAAAAAAATCTGTGTCAATCCTAATTAAAAGAAAAGAAATCCTCAGGGGATGTGCATTTTCACATCTTAAACCACTTAAGATGCAACCCTGTGTATGTTTAGACAGAAAAAAGATCCTATAATTTCCAGCAGTTTTTAACATGCATAGGATTATACCCTTAAATCATAGCCCCATCATTGCAAGAATAATGTGTCCTGATGCGCGATAATGTATTTGCCTGGAAATAAGTGCAGTTTTATGGTAGAAAAGGCTAATTTATTTTAAAATAAAAAGAATAAAATTATGTAACCACATACGTATTCACCAACTACCCAGAACTATACCATGCATCGAATAAAAAAATAACATGATATGTGAGCAGAAGGTGCTATTGCTGGCCCTGTTTGCTGCTGTCACCAATAACGGTTTCCTCACCAATAAGGAAACACTTCTTGCTTTGCCCCAGAGCCACGGTCATTTATGCAAACTGCCTCACTCTCAGCTGTCACCACCCCACTGGTCAAAACTTAAGGGTGCTCTTTCCCTGATGGAGTAAACAGCACTTTGGCAGGATGAAATATGTACACTGACACAGCAGTAAAACAGGCCAAGCCCCATTTTGTCCTCTTTTCACACTCCTCTCCTCATTTTTAAAGGAACCTAAAGGGACAGGAGGCCTCCAGTTCAGCTTTTAATTACGTCAGTCATGCTAAGTGCAGAACAATCTCAAACGGCAGAAAAGGAGACACACAAAAGCGCTGGCTGCACAAAGCGGTGCTGTTGATCCGTTGGCTGGTGAGGATGGGAGGTTTCAAGGGGCATGGACTTGTGGGAGTTGTCACAGGGAAGCGGGCTCCAGTGATGCCGCATCGGTGATCCCCCACCCACACACGTGCACCCTGGCTCTCCTTGGCCTTCACACCCTCCTTCACAAGTCAGCCCAAGGCCCTTCTGGAACATCAACCCTGACCATGCAGAGCTAAGGGGCTCTTGCTGATAGGCTGCTGTCAAAGCATCCCCACCAGAGTCCTCACATTGACAGGAATTAATTAATGTCACCGTACATTTTGGGAAAGGGAGCAGAGCACCAGCATCACCGTGTCACATGGCCAGCATGAGTCACATTTGGAAAGGGAGCCCAAGAATGCGGTTTGCTCTGATTCAGTTTGACAGAGAAAATGCTTCTTTCCTCCCAAAGGGAGTCCTTTTTCCCAATCATCTCACTCTATTTTAGCTGCTCAGAAAAGACACTTTATGCAGGTGCACATAGGTGCCAGGAGGAACACAAGACCCTTCCAAACTGAGCGTACTTTGTGCCTTCCTTCTCAAGCATTTATGCAGCACTATTTAGAACTTGTGGATACTTTGCAATTTTCATTAATTCACCCTTACAGTCATTCACTTGGCTGGGCAAACAATCTGTAAGGCAATTCACTATTCCAAGAGCTAGGCATAAGCAAGTGGTAGGCCCCAGGTTGAATCTAGTCCTCAAAACCATTTGACCTGGCTTTCAGTGGCTTTACCAATTTTTAAAATTATTGGTTTAAAACATTTTTATTTACTACATGTTAAAATATGCCTTTCTTGCATGTTGCAAAGTAAGGCAGTGTGGCATCGTGGTTGAAGAGCTGGACTGAGAACCTGGGAGATGCAGATACTATTCTTTACAAAGCCGTTAAGCTCCTTGAGTGACTTTGGGCCAGTCACTCACTCTTAACTTGACCTTTTTCAGGTGGTCCTTATTATGGGGAGAAAAGAGGAGTGGAGAAGAACCTTGAAGGCTGCCTTGAGTTTCTCTCAAGAGCCAAAAAAACAGGCCATAAATATAATAATAATAATAAGGCCCCATACATAGAAATCCCACATGCCTTGCTGTCCAGATCCAGGGCTGCTTAGTTTTAGCAAGTCAGCTGCTGCATCTTTCTCTGTTCTGCCTCCTGAACTGTAAGCTATTACTATAAAATAAGGACTGTCTTGAATAATTTGGCAGAAAGATAGCCTATACATGCAATAAATAAATAATATAGGTATCAGTTCTGGCAATAAGCTGACAAGCCTGTTTTCCCTCTGCTTCCTAGACCTTTGAAATTTACCCCACTGAATATGCAACACTAGGATTCAACTTAAAGATTTAATGTAAAATCTTTTGAGAGTGATGGACATGCAAAACTCAGCTCAATATGATGAAGGGCCATCTAGTTACTGCAAGCTAATGGTGCAGAGATCCAGAATATGACATGAGGGCACCTGTGAGCAATGATGGAAAAGGCTGAGATACATAATGAGAACACTCAGAGATCAAGATGCTCTGGAAATGTGGGGTGAAAGGAAAGAGTTACGCACACTGATTTTCCTCTGTGGCCATAGGTGTGTCTGACTCAAAGTCTTGAGGATATGACGAGCATCTATCGATCCTACAAGTAGGATGTTCATTTTAGGGACATCTTCCTGGGACAGCTGAAGACATTCCTTAGGAGCCAGATCTGTAGGGAAAGCAAAAATGGCTCTAGCTTGAGCTGTTAATGCTCGATGCCAGTGGTGGTGAGTCTTTTAGAGACTGAGTGCCCAAACTGCAACCAAAACCCCACTTATTTATCGCAAAATGCCAACACTACAATAAAACCAGAAAACTGAGGTTTTAGTTTGGAAAAAGCAACTTACAGCCAGTCCAAGCAAATATATATATCCTTGACATATATTGACCGGCCATGTGAAACCTGGGACGAGTCACGGCTAATAAGTCACGCCTGGTGCCACTACTCCTTTCCGAGAATGAGCATGGCCCCTCTGTGCGCGGTTATCTGATGCTCGGCTGCCGGGGCAATGCAGGGGTGACTTGGCTCGCGTGCCAACAGAGAGGGCTCTGCGTGCCCGAATGGCACACGTGCCATAGGTTCACCACCACTGCTCTGTGCTAAAGGCAAATCCTCCCTTCTTACTAGGGAAGTTTACATGCTCAAAAATGTCAGAATAAATCCAGAAAAATGCTGATGCTGTAGAATGCATAAAGATGTACAATGTGCAAATATTTTCCAGAAATCATTGGGTGCTTCCAGATACCAGGCTTCTGGTGCTGCAATCAGAAGGTACCAGGCAGCATTCCCTCTTTTTCCCCATTAACAGATTTTCTGCAGTAAGAATATGTGGTAAGAAAATACTGAAGGTTTACAAACATAAGACAACAACATCTAGCCCCCATGTAAAAAGTTCTGAATGGGGCAAAGTGATGACACCATAAAAGCCTCAACTGCAAGCACCCAATATTGTAAGATTTTACATGGGAATGATGGGAATGAAAGTTGCTGTTCATTGGGACAGCTATTTCTCTGGATTGGCATCTTTACCACCAACCTTGAGATGGTATATGTGCCTGAATGCAACAAGTTTGCTTCCACAGTAGGTTTATTGCCAAAACTATGTATGTCTGGATGTACCTTAAGCAAAAGAATAAAGACTGGAGTTTTTTGCTGACCTGGACATATACAAATGTAGCTCTACAACCATGAGAACTAGAACTCCTGGTTTTTCCATTTCAAACTGAAGCTGGAATTCTCAGGGAAAAAAATTCTGCACCAGAGTGTAATGGAATCATGGAAGCAACCCCCTAAATCAAGAGCATGAAATGTGTGGCCTTGCAGGTATTTCGGGATTGCAGTTTCCATCAGTGCCAATCATCATGGCCAATGATAAAAGCTGATGGGAGTTGCAGTCCAACAAGATCTGAAGGTCCATGTGCTCTCCATGCCCTTGATATATCTTAGCATAGCCTATATGGTTGCTGTTTAAATCAAATATCCCTCATGGGGAAACACTGGGCTTTTGGTTTCAAGTGAAAGATAGCATGCACAAAGGTCCTGTCCCAGTGGTATCCCAGTAGCTAGGGAGGAAATCTTGAACGGACTGCTTCTTATTCCCCAAAGCAGCTCCATTTCAGCGCCAGGCCTACAACAGAACCAAAAACCATTTGACCAGCAGGACAAGAGGGCAATGTCTCATAATACAGCAGGCAAGCAAAGAGGAAAATATTCAGAAAACAAGCGATACCTACATATGGATTGCAAGTCAAGTGCTGGAGAAAAGCCCCACCAGGCTGTGGTGCCAAAACCATTGCCACTACCGACTGCTGTCATGGCTGCAAAGAAACTGCAAAACAGACATAGTAAGAAACACACACTCACAGTGTGTAGGCCTCACATGCTGTCTAACCTCCCCTATATTTGCAAATCATTATACACCCACTGTCTTCCATACTCTTTATTATCAGTGTCACAATTCAATTCAGAATATTTGGAGGCAGCCAAGTGGTCTGAATACAGTATTACTATTACACTGACAAGAAAACTAATGTTACCCAAAAACATGAAAGGTGACACATTTTCCAAAAAGCGGCCCAGCATGCCCAAGAGATTCAGACCTCACCCATGGAATTTCAACTCATTCTCTTACATCTCTGGGCCACAGCAAGTTCCAAAACTGTGATGATAAAACTGCTTTCAACCGCCATTCCTCATGTGCTTGTCCCTTTGTTTCGAACCACACGCTCTTCTACTCCTAATCAGTTCACTTCAGGCAATGTATTACTGGCATAGCAAGACACACAAGCATAGGATGGATACATCTCTCTGCTGTTAGTTTCCAAGAAACAAGGAAAAGACTGGATATGAAATGCACCAGAAAGAATGAAGAGGGAGATAGAAGAGAGCATGAAATGGTCTGAAGCATTTTGCCATTCATACAGGATGAGGGTTATGGATTTGGAATAGATGTCAACTCCAACATACCAAGTCGAATCCCCATCATGACCACTGGCAGGGATTGAAAAGGATCATCCTTTCACTTTCTAACTCTTTAGTTGAGGTTCAGTCTGGCAAATAAGTAGAGTACTGAAATAACTCAGACATCCAATTGTTAACAAGCTTGTGCTTTAAAAGTGCAAGCTTCTAGTGTTCAAGGACTAAGCTTAAAGGGGCAAAGAAAGTCCCAGAAATCACAAATGTGCCTGTTTCTTCTAACACAGGTTTTCATTCTGTATCACAAGCTGTTCTTGAAATTCAAAAGAAGTAATCATGCAGAACGGGAGAAATATTCTTCAAAAACCGAGGCAGGGAGGAAGCACATGTAGGACTGTGGTCCATTGTGTTAGAAATATTTATTTAAATGTTTTGTAAGGCCTCCAGTGGCAAAGGAGAGATATCTTGATAGATCAACTCCACTCCTGTTCCTCTTATTGTACACCCACATAATCTATTTCTGCTCCCAATATATTTCTGCAATTTGGACTTTGAGCAAGATTCAGCATGAACCTCAACAGCTCTAGATAAGCTGGCCTTGAATGTATTAGGCACAAATAAGTTTTATACCCAATAACCTCAATAAGTTGAATTGATTTATTGAGTCAAAGAACTGAATAACATTTTCAGTTTATCCTGCTTGTAGTGATTTTTGCAAAAATTTTGCTTTGCTGGCAGTACAGTTAGAAGCTACCCCCCCACCCAAAAGGAGAAAACTGAAAAATAGTAATTTAGTGACAGAATTAAATGCATTATCTGGGGAATCTAAAAAAAGATATAATTCTCTGCATTTATAGCCTGACTTTCTCCCATTGTAGAATTCAAGGTGGTTCCCAGGTTGTTTCCACTTGAAACACTGACCAGATCCAGCCCTACTTGGCTGGGGGGCGGGGGTGTCCCCTCATGTGCTTTCTGTCCATTCAGTACCTACATATGGGAATGGACTACAGCTCTGTAGATACAGATACATGCTTTACATGCAAAAGGTCCCATCTGCAGATAGCGCTGAAGGGGAAAACTGCCTGAAATCTGGAGAATTTCTGCCAGTCAATACAGACACAATTAGCTAGATGGCCTGAAAGGTCTGAAAGCATATGGCAGCTTCTTAGGTACCTCTATTGATTCCTCTACACATCTCTTTCAGGGTATGATGAATTAAAACACATGAGACCTGTAACAGAATCTCATGGTTTTACTTTTTCAAAGCTGATGAGGACATGGTTCTAATGGCTGGCTATTCTTTTCCCCTAGTGCTATTTCTCCACTTTCATCATGGAAATCCCACCTGGCTGCTCAGTAGAACACAGGCTTTGTATGAAGTTTCCACATTGAGTCTTTGGTCTCTTCAGTTATAAAAAGATCTAGCAATGTTAAGGACTTGAGATCCCCCCAAAAGCTACTGCCTGATGTTCCAGACAATTCTGGGCTAACTGGACAAATAACCCACCTGCAAACCTATGCCCACATACCCAGAAGTTCCAATGAACTAAATGAGACTTACATCTGAATTGACATATTATTATTATTATTATTATTGCATTTTTATACTGCCCATAGCCAAAGCTCTCTAGGCAGTTGACAGCAATAATCATAGAATCATACACTCAAGTCACCCATCCCACTTCTGCCCAGGCCTGACCCTGCTTAGGCAGGATCAGGCACTTCAGGCATATGTAAGATTGTGCTGTTAATCTAAGAATGTCAGTGAGATGTAGTGATTAAAGGTGTGGGACTGAGACCAGGAGATCTGGGTTCTAGTCCCCACTCAGCCATGGAGCTACCTGGGTGACTTTGGGCCAGGTACAGACTGTTGGTCCAAGCTACCTCAAAGGCATGTTGTTGGGAGGAAGGAAGTAGGAAGAGGAGAATTGGTAGGAAGAGAATTATGGTAGCCACTTTGAGTTCCCTGAAACATTGTAGGATATAACAAATAATAATGATAAAAAAATACAGCCTATGTAGGTCAGTTTTTTCTGAGGGTGGCTCCATCCTCATGTTGATCTACAAAGCCATTAAGTCCTTGAAGCAATAATTACCACAGTCCATCCTCCTCCCTCTTTCCCGAGCTTCATCTTCCCATCACTGCACTTATTTTGGGTTCAAATCCCCCACCACCAGATTTATCCTTGTTCTACTTACAGAAAGTTCGCAACCCACTGCCTGTTACTCTAGCACACAAGCACACGCTGCTTCTGCTGCTGCTCGATTCCCTCGCTTCACCCGGTGTAGATATACCCCACTTTGGACCTACCCCAGTTGGCACTACCATGCTGAATCCACCCCTCTTCCACGGAACCTTCCTCCCTCCCGTTCATTTTATGCTACCCACACTTTCTCCTTGGTCAATTTCTCCTCCAAAAATGGAACCGCTGCACTTTTCTCAGGGTTACTACTCCCCTCCTCCGGCCCCGCAAAATAATCGCTCTCCCTGCTCCCCTAGCATTTCACCTATCCAGCTCGTCGCCGCCGTGATAGACAGGCTTCCCGTACAATCGGTCGTGCAGCGGGACAGTTGGCAGCCAATAAGCGCACGCATAAAGGAACATAGGGGCGGAACTCCAGACTGCTAGCGACGCTATCTCCATGGCAATGGGGCCCACTGTGAGACGGGCGGCATGCCAAGCCTGGATTTTCCTGTGTCTGCGATCCGCCCCGCCCAAAGCCCTCCCTTTTGGGCAAAGCATACCTTCTTGTTGCTGCTGTCTAATCCATTTCGCTAAATGATGCTCTTGTTTCATCTTCTGACAAGGCCATTACCTTGGGTCAGGTCTCCCCATCCAACATTCACGTTTTATAGCAGCCTTCCCCA